CTCTAAACTAGGCCTACTCTACCTCTAAAATCTTAAACTTTAATATGAAACTTTCAGACAAAACCTCCAATCCTTCCAGTTCCCTCATTTGCTTTTCTCAACTGCTCTTTCACCTAGATAAAACTTTCAATCCCCGAAGGTTCTTTCCTTTTCTCCCTAGACTATCAGCTGCTGCCCTCCCAATTCCTTCCTTAAACAGCCTAAGGCATCCCATCAATTCATTGTGAAGCTCTCTAAACTCTTCTCATCACATTGCCATTCAGTCACAAGATCCTGCAAGTGCTCAACCCTTCCTAATCTCCTTAACAAATATTTCAAATATTCAATCTTTTCAGGCTGCCCTCCCTTTCTACTTGTTCCTTCCCCTTAGTTTAGGGAACATGTCACGTCAAGTAGTTTCTCCTACCTAGATCCTTGGAGCTGGCCTGTATCCAGTCCCTTTCTAAGTCTGGTTCTCTAACCTTCCCAATTAAATTCTGTGGGATATTGATATCCTTCCAATACATTACTTTTCTACTTAAATTAATCAGAGCCCCTCTGAGACTCTATATTTCCATCCCGGACAATTACTCCTGAACCCTGGACTCCAAAAACCAAAGTGAAAACCAGGCATCTTTAATGATCACGTCCCTCTTTTGTCTGGAATTCTTTACTAGCAGGTGACTAGCAGTCACCTCCTAGGATGAAGCTCAGTTTCCTTAACATAGCAAATGAGGCCCTCTGAAATCCAATTTAGTTTAGTGCCTATTAAAGACACCAAGTGGAGCAGCAAGCCTGACCCCAAAGAGTTCTCCCCCTGACCATATCTTTACTGTGTAACTCTTTGCCACTGCTAACTGATCTATGGATAAACCAAACTGGGCTGAACAGGTTCTCCCTCCCAGGAATCTGAAACTTGATGGCAAAGTTCACAGACCGGGAATTGTAAGAGATGGGACAGTACCCTAAAGCAACGGTTCTCAACCAAGAGTAATTTTGCTCCCCAGAGGACATGGGCAATGTCTGGAGACATTTTTCATTGCCAAGACTGTGGGAGTGCTATTGGCACCTAGTAGGCGGAGACGAGAGATACCGCTAAACATCCTACAACACATAGAGCAGCCCTTCACAACGAAGAATTATCTTGTCCGAAATATCAATCATGCAAACTCTTCCAATGAGGTTCTAGGAGCCGGCTAGTTCCTGCCCTTCCTCTGATTCTGCAACCCACTTCAACAGCTTTCTGTTACATTTCCTTTTTACCTAAGTTAAACAGAGCAGGATTGTGTTGTTTGCTGACAAAATAACCTTCACTGGCTTAGTAGTCTAGTTCAATCATCTGACACACGTATGTATACTTTAAATCAGCTTTTCAACCTCAAAACTATTAACATTTGGGCCAAATAATTCTTTGTTGTGGAGGACTGTGCACTGTAGGATGTTCAGCAGCATCCCTGGTCTCTACCTAGTAGATGCCAGTACTCTCCATCCCCGGCCCCCCCAAATCTAACAATTAGAAAAATCTCCAGACACTGCCAAGTGTCCCCTGAGGGGCAAAATCACTCCTGGTTGAGAATTACTGCTTTATCCTATACAAAGACTCCACCCAGGTGTGGTGTATGTCTGTTCTACTCCCCAGTAAACCTTGTGCCTAGCATAGTAGGCCCTGAGCCGGGGGCTGGGGCAGGGGCGGGGGAGGGGCATTTGTATCTAAATATTCCCTGCTCCTTTTCAGGTCCTGGCTTAAATAGACTCCATCTTCCAGCTTCTATTTTCCCCCTCTTCACCTTTGCTTAAGCATTCACGTACACACAACAGAAAACGAGGCCTTGAGCTGAAGGGTAGCTCCTGCTCTTATTCCCTTTCTTACATTTGTTATAACATTCCCTTGTGAAAAAATACTCTTCTAGAGAAGCCTCCAAAACATATTCTGTGCCAGTTATAGTATGAAAGATCAGGGTAATTTCTCCTTCAAAGGTTTTTCCTGTTTCACTTCTTTTAAAATGTAACTACTCCAACCCCCACCCCACCATACACACACTCTCTCACATACACACACACTCCCTATTCAGTTTCAGATCCGTTCTAAGCACACAAACTGTTTTTATTAACAATTCAAGAGATGCTTGAGATACAAACTAAACAACCATTAGGCAGAGAACAAGTATATAGATTTACACTTCTCAAATAGTTCAGTATTTACTTAAAGCATCTGTTAATCTTTTAAGAACAATTTCTTTTTCATAGTTTTCCAATATACCAGTTTCTAAAGCCCCTATATCCAGGTAACACTGGTTTTAATCTTACAGTTTCACCATTGGTCAAGGCTCAGTGTAAGCACTCTTTCTCCTGTTGGTTCCTAGACAGTTTTCCTCCTGGAAGACCCCTATATAAAGGGTCATTTTCCTAGTCCTTCCTTTCCAGGACACCGAAGGCAATGTATTTATTCAATGATTCAATTAACCATTGCTTCCTAAAACTACAATAAAACTAGGCATACCCAGTATCTGTGATAATATTGGTGGCTTACAGGCTTGCCTCAGTTAAAAAAATTACAATGTGAGGGAGAGTCAGTTCATTAGTGCCATCCATGCACTCATTCAAAAAATAGTTGTTGAGTGCCTATATTACGCTAGACTCAAAACAAAAATCCCTGCCCTCATGGAGTTTACATTCAATAGAGAAGACAGACACACAGCAAATAAATCAATATAAGACAGATGAAGATGAGTGCCACAGAGAAAAGCATGGTCAGGTAAGTCCTCTTTTCAGAAGGTGCCAGGGGGCCAGCCCAGTGGCCCAGTGGTTAAGCGCACACGCTCCACTTCGGCAGCCCCGGGTTCACAGGTTCAGATCCCGGGTGCGCACAGATGCACTGCTTGTCAAGCCACGCTGTGGCGGCGCCCCATATAAAGCAGAGGAAGATGGGCACGGATGTTAGCCCAGGGCTAATCTTCCTCAGCAAAAAAGAGGAGGATTGGCATCGGATGTTAGCTCAGGGCTAGCCTTCCTCACACACACACAAAAAAGAAGGTGCCATAAGTTGTATTCACTGGCCATATGAAATGTGTATTATTGGAAGGTGATATGTTCTAAGTATTTCCTGTTAAACTGTATTAAATTGTATTCCAGATGATTAGATCAACACAGTAACATCTTCATTACTGGATAATTTGTAAAATTAAGCTCGACTCAGGTAATTTCAAAAATTCATCCCTACTTGATTATAATTTATCACAGTACCCACCCTGTTTAGTCTACTGTCGTCCTTTAGATTTAGAAATAACTGTACTTTTCTTAGGAGATGACAGCAATAGCAGTAAGAGTAATATATTAACCAAGAATATGAATTTGAAACTCTTCAGTTACCTGAGTTAAGCAAGTTTTGAAATATGAAATAACTGAAAACTCAAGTGTTTCAAAAACTCATCTCTGAAAAAAAAATCCTGATTACTATTTACAACACAGCTTTTAGAAATCACACAGATGAAAAAATAATCCTAAAGATTCTATTCTGAATATGTGGTTATTGTCTGTTGTGTGAAGTAAGCCATTATCTTTGCTATTAATTTTTAAGAGTCCTTCTCAACTGGAGTTCTACAAGAGAATTAAACTCTAAAGCCCTAAGGCACTCATTGATTGAATAAACTTTTCTCCTCTGCACCCAGAATGGAACTAGCTATGCACCATCACCCGTGGGAGAGTGAGAATATAGACATCATTTCCTGTAGGTCTGAATTTTTTTGTAGAACTGAGTATGACAACAGCTGGAGGACATCTGATAAGTCAGACCTTACCTAAAAAATAAAAAATAAAGATAAAACCTTCTTCCAAAATAAGATAATTCAGTATTGGACCACATACACAATTTAAAAAGAAACTTTCCAATTAGTGATAATATTAAGAAATGTATATTCATAAATGCTGCTATAATTTGTTACTTTTTTAAAAACTGTTTATATATTATTCAGCATTACAAGTGAGGAAAATATTTGCTGAATCATAGAAATATTGATTTTGTTCCCCAATATATAACCTGTGGTATACAACGATCTAGAGAATCAAGAATTGTCTTTACTATACAAGTACATGATTATACCTGTCTTTTCCTAAAATCAGTTAAAAGTAATCATTAACTTACAAATAACAAAGAAAAGGCTCATAACCAAGCGCTTTGAAATCTCTAACAACTTGGAAACAAGATCCTACAGCTAGCCTGTGTCTTGAGACAAATATGGAGAAGCCAGGAGCAGTAACAAACTGCCAGCGTTACTGAGTCATGTTTCTGACTAAAACCGCCTTATGAAATGGAAAGAATGACAAATCGTGGGTTTATCACCGCAGATGCTGACTCCCTGAATTTATGGGTCTCAGATTTAAAAAAGCAAAAAACTGTTTTGTAAGAAGGACGTGGAACCAAAACGACTGCAGAAAGAACTTGCCAAAGCTGGGAACCCTGGTTGTTTACCTAAAACAAATCCTAACTGTCCAAACAGGCACACCCTCTCATGCACCGGAGCGGGAACGGCGACATGGGGTGAATCCAGCACAATAACAAGGTTAACATTTCACTGAGAGGACGAGCCTCAGCCCTAGGAGTCCACACTGCGCCAGACGCCCTCAGTTAACGAAGTCGCTCAGCTCCGAGTGTAGGCGCGCACCGAGCTCCGGGTCATCCTACCACAGAAACCAGGCACCGGGGGCACGCCAGGCCACCTCCAGCCTCCGCGCAGACCCACCAAGAGGGGTCTCGGGACGCCCCCAGACGCCGCGTCCCTCGGCCGCCCTCCGCGAGCCCGCCGGGGGAGAACCCGGCCGGGGGCTGACTCGTGAAGGCCAGCCCCGGGCGCCGCCGGCGACGGCAGACCCGGGGCTGCGACCCCTGCCCCGCCTGGAGCGGGGAGCCCAAGGCTCGCCTCCCGCATGCCTGCCAGTCCCCGCCGGCCCCGAGGCCGCTGCCTGCCTCCGGTGCCGGCTAGGGCGGAGGCGGACCGGCCCCCACGCGCGCGGCTCTCACTGACCTGGAGAGGTGCTTCAGGATCTGTTTCTTGATAAGCCCAGCCATGGTGCCGGGGCGGGAGGCGCCGCGCTCTCTCTGCGTTCCTCACTGCCTCCTTCCTGTGGCCGTCTCCTCTTTGTCCGGGTTACCCCGGTCGGAGGAGAGGCGTCTGAGCGCTCACGTCCGGGAGAGACCTGAGGCCCCGGCCGAGGCCACAGCCGCCGCCGAGGGTCCCGAGCATCCCGCTCAGGCTACCGCGGCCGCTGCCGACGCCATCTTGGCTGCAGCATCACCTAAGAGACCTGGGGGAGGGCGGGGGCGGGGCCGGCAGGGGGCGGGGCGAGGCAACGCAGAGTCCGGGCAGGCGCGCGAGGCATGCGGCCCCGCCGGCTTGGCCCCGGCCTCGGGTGCGAGTCGGCCTCTGCCCTGACGCCCGTGGGTGCTTAACTCCCAATCCCAGAACCTTGGGCTTTAGTCCTCCCTCCCCACCTTCTGGTCATGTTCCTCCTCCATCACTGAATCCTTCCACGTGCACTTCTCTTTTTCATTTCCTCAGAATTTGCTCCACAAACTGCTCTGCTTGCTTTGCTCTCTTTGCCTACTCGGCTTTCTTCATATTCTTTCCTCAGTGTCTTCTCGTTTGCTAAGGTATTCTGCCTTCCCCCGACTAAATGCTGCAACTTAATGTTTCCTTTGGTCATTCCAATCCTAAGGGAAGGAAAAGTTGACAACGTGTCTTTAAATAGAGTCCAGGACCTGGGAATTAGAAGGCCTAAAATCAGTTCTTGGCTCTAGTGTTTTCTAGCTGTGTTAACCTGGCTAAAATAATTTCCTTACTTTTAGCCTGAATTGAGTCATCTATAAAATAGGTTAATAATATCAGCCTTACCCACCTTATTAGGTTGTTGTATCTAAAGAAATAAGGATGTAAAATTTCACTTAAAAATTTCTGTAAAAAGGAAGGAAATTTTTGAAATAGCGGGCAAAACTATTACGGTTCTGCACCTCCACCCCACCCAGCCCCAAACCACCTTTCTTCAGAGGTGAAAACGACCCCCCAGAGATGTCTAAAAGAGGGTAAGAAATTACACTACCTCTGAGGAATGTATCAGGAAGGTGTGTGGGTATGTGCGGGGTGGGGTTCTGGGGGGAGTAGTTTACACATAGTCCATAGTCCAACAACCTGGCCCTTTTCAAAGAGAAAGGAGATATATGTGTGTTGACTATTTACTCACTTAACATTTATCATGCACTATAAACTAAGCATTATTCAAGTATCTAGGGTTGCCTAAACAAAAACAAAAAACCTGTTCCTGCCGTCGAAGAGTTAACAGCCTAGCATGGGAGGTAGATTCTTGGTGCTCTTGTCAGTAGACTCTGGTTCAAATACTAGCTCAGCCAGTTTGTAGCTGTGTAAACTTGGGCAAGTTATTTAATCTCTGTCAGCCTCAGTTACCTCATCTATTGGAGAAAATATTAAAAATAATTAACAGAATTTTGTGAGGACTAAATGACATTATGCATATAAAGTGTTCAACAAAATGTCTATCACGTGGCAAGCTCTTAATAAGTGCTATTATTATTATCATTAGTATTATTGAAATCAGAAGCAAAGTGCTATGAGAACACAAAGGAGGGAGTGATTCATTCTATCCTGTTAAGTCAGAGATGGATTTACAATGGAGATACTACTTCAAAGATAAGAATAAGTCAGCTTAATGTCTTAAAAGAACTGATCCTGAAGTCGAAGACTTAGATTTGAAACCTAGCTCTGTGGATTTTTAGCTATGTCATCATAGGAAAAGGATTGAACTTCTGGAGCGCCATGACGTTATTTACCTTCATGATGTTGTTGTGAGGATTAATCAAGCTACTGAAGGTAAAGACTTAGAGAGTGCCAGACACAATAGAATGGTAGCTATTATTATTAATTCACTAGGCAGAAAATGATGTTTCAGGCAGATGGAACACAATTATGAAAAAGGACAGAATTGTCAGTGTCCAAGTTCTTCTAAATGGCAAGTGGCCTAATGTTGTGGCTAGAACAAAACATGGATTCCTTTTCAAAGTAATAAGTCTCAAAGAACCCCACAGGTTAATAATTGTAGTTATAGTATCTTTTTATTGAGAAAATACATGGTAATAATTTCAATTTTACTCTCCCCGGATTGAGAGAACACATAATGTCACAAAACCACCATAAATTCAGTGTTTTAAATTAGTTTACATTTTTGTTAATTGCTTTTTAATTATCCAAGTATAATTTTCAAAAATTTAAAAACATGACTGTCATACAAATATATAATGAACGTGCATCAAAGATTTATTAACTTATATTAATGCAAGAACCAAGAAGATAGGGTATAAAGCTAGTTCACTCATTAATATGACAAATAAATCTGTTGCACATGTTCATTATTTATTTATTTTTATTATTATTATTATTTTTTGCTGAGGAAGATTCACCGTGAGCTAACATCTGTGCCAATCTTCCTCTATTTTGTATGTGGGTTGCCACCACAGCATGGCCACCAATGAGTGGTGTAGGTCCGTGCCCAGGAACCAAACCTGGGCTGCCAAAGTGGAGCATGCCAAACTTAACCACTTTACCAGCCCATCATTATGTATTTATATCAGAGTCATGTTTTTTAACTCTTTTAAAACTATACATTGCTAAAATATACATGTACATACATGAAAATTAATATTTATATATGTGAGATTATTTGTGCTAAAACCTGGGAGAGGAATGTGCATGGTGTGCAAGTGAATGGAGTTAGAGCTTTTACTGAAAAGTCTGTACTGAAGCTGGCTCATACTGGCTCATGAGAACCAATTGTGTGCATCTCTTTCCAGTTCTGTGTTTGGTATTTGGCAACTTCAGGATAGCTTGAAATCAGCCATTGTTACAATATTTACACCACAGAAGGTAGTAAACACTACAAATCAGGGCACTTTTTTTTCCTGGAGATCTTGTTAAACATTTACCAGTACACACTGTAAGATGGATTTTAGGGGAATGAGATTGTAAATGTATAGACATTATTTCACAGGCAATGTCAAGCCACGGAAGACTTCTGTGGTGAGTGAATTTAGGGAGAATGATCAATTTTCTGATTTAGAAAAATATTTGCTGATAATTATGCTGGCAGTACAGAGGACAGATCATAATGAGAAGAGAATGGAGGCAGCAAGGGCATTGAGAAGGCAGTGGCATTATTTCAGGTGAGAAATAAGGCAGTATCAGTAGAGATGAAAGTCAAGGACAGACTCCAGAGATTAAGTCAAGGATTGGGGTTGAAGGTAATTGAGATTTCTAGCTTGGGACACTGGGTAGATCTTGGGGGCACAACACTAATTGAGATAAGTAATATAGCTGGAACAAGCAGTTTTGGAGATAAGACTCAGTTCTGGATTTGTTGCCTTTAAGGTTATCTCAGGATATCTGGGTAGAAACATTCAGATTACAGTTAGGGGTGGAAATTCTGCTTTAGGATTTATCAGTACGTAATGAGAGCTGAAGCCAACAACAAAAATGATCTTGAACCAAGAGCGCGTAAGTTAGGAAAGCAAAAAGAGAAGCTTAAATGACAAAGGGTAAAGACAAATGATAACCAGAAGGAGAGACAGAATTGAAAGAGCATATTTTAAAAGATGAGAATGAATAGAAATGATGGCTGCTCTATGATGTAAGATTTATAAAATATTCTTTCCATGTTTGGGGTTTAATCAATTTAATATTAAATTAGAGAAAATAGAATGACTAAAATTGGGCATTTAACAATTTTTTGATACAAAGGGATATTGACACCAATCAAGTGCCTGACTTCAAGGAGTTTACCATCTATGCAAGTTAACAGAGAATGATCATATAAGAGGAGGAGGAGGATGATGATAACTGCTACCAGGTACTTGACTTTTATAATTTACTTTTCATAAAACAACTCTGCAAGGGGGCGTTATTAATATAATTCCATTTTACAGATGAGGAGATTAAGGCATAGAGAGGTTAACTAACCTGTCCAAGCCATCTAGTGGCAGAGCCAGGATTTGACCCAGAAATTTGAATGCAAAGATGGCACTCCTAACCACTATCTCTTTGATTTCAATAATAGTACCTACTTCATAAATTGTGAAGATTAAATTAGTTAATATATGTAAAGCTCTTAGAACTGTTTATCCACAAGCATTAAGTAAGTGCTATGTATTAACCATTATTATCTTCACCGCCCAAGGTTACACAGACATTATGTGGCAGAGTCCGGATTCCAATCCAAAATTCATTCTCTTAACCATTATGATATTAAAGGAGTTTGCCCTAGTCAGATGTCGAGAAGCCTTTTTAGCTTCAGATAAGAATGACACAGAGCTCAGTCCCGAAGAACAAGTAGACAGAGGAAGAGTAAGAGAGTGAGTGAAAAAGCAAGGCGGCTGACAGAACAACATATTTGTATTTCAGGGTGGTCGGCTCCTACAGTCGGATGGGCAGTTGCGGGGACTGAGGGTGAAGAGATCTCAAATCCAATTCCATGCTGCGTATGGTTTTGCACTTTATTCTTCAAGAAATGTCACTGTGTGAACCATACTATTCGAACACACACACACACACACACACATACACACACACAGCTGGTTCGCTACAGGGGGTTGGAAGAAACTTGCAGGAGCGAGTCAATCTGCGAAATAAAGAACAAATACGCAAAGGGAGATAAAGCACTCAGCAGTTTCCACTCTTGTTGGATCTCGCCACGACTTGTATGGGTTAGGGTTGGAAGCACGCTACAACTCGCGCTGACAGGCAGGGCGGCAGTGCTGTCTCTGACTTCCGGCGTCCTCCGTTGCTAAGAGAGACCGGAAGCGTCCTTACGCCCCGCTCTTGCAAACCATAGAGTGCCGGAAAACGTGTGAGCAGAAGGGTCGGGAAGAGAACGCCACGGCGCCGTCGTTTGTGCTAAAATGACGACTTTAGTGCTTGATAACGGAGCTTACAATGCCAAAATCGGTTACAGCCATGCAAATGTCTCGTAAGTGTTTGCTTTCTCCCAGGGACGAGGCGTATATGCCTAGTAGTTTCACATGCTACCCTTCATCCTGGGATATCAGTAAACTGCAAACGCCCCCGCGCGGCCTTAACCTGAGCCAGAGGGATGCTCTTGTTGGAGCTGGGTGGTTAGGACGCTTTGAAGGGTGATTTTAGTGTTCATTTTGGGCTGCGTGGCCCCGGAAGTGGGACGTGTGTTTCCTTTCGTAACAGGAAATAGCTCAGGAAAATAGTCTTGTAGAGAAGCGGTTGGACACCAAGTTCATGAACCCTCAGGCATCGTGGGCAACATTTTGTGTGTATATGCATCTTGTTTGGGACGCGGGTATAGCTTTCGTCGGATCTTTAAAAGGTTCCATGGCTTTAAAAAAAAGTGTAAAAACCACTGTCTTAGTGGCTGGAGACTTTGAAGAGTTTGAAATTCAAATAGCATTAAACTGGTGAAGGTAACCACAATGAGAAAGGCTTTGTGCCTAAGCCTTTCGAGGTGCTCATTGGGTGACCTGGTTGATTAGAGTCAAACAGAAATACAATGGCATTCGTAATATATGTTTGAATAAAGAGTAAGCAGATTTAAAGACACGCTTTTCTTCTATCATATTCATAGAGGATTTATTTTTCTTTTCCTTTCTCCCTCTTTTCCTTTTTGTGTTTTAAGAGGACAAACTGTAGGAATCTAGATTGTTACAGTCTTCTGGAAAACATTTTGGCAATGTGTATCATTGTTCTTATTCTTTGACACAGCAATTCTATTATCAGTTATCTAAGGAATAAGAGGTGTTTGATAAAAGTAAGTACAGGATGCTCTATATTATTTATAGATATTGTGTATGGCAGCAAAAAAAAGTGGAAAGCAAGCTAAAAAATCAAGAATGGAAATTGAGTAAAATTGTAATACAACCATAAGATTGACTACAATGAAGCTTTTAAAAATCATATCCTCAAAGAATATTTAAACATATAGAGAAAATGACAGCATAGTAAGTGAAATAAGCAGGTACCAAACATTTTTACAGTATTATCCTAATATCTTCCCTCTCTCTCTTTCTGTGTATGTATACACACACGTATATATACATATACATATGTACGTGTGTTTATGATTGATAATGGCTCTAGTTTGCCTTCCTAACTAGATTGTAAGCTCATGGTGGGCAGCAACCATATTTAAAACTACTTCCTACTTCTGTACCCTATAGCGTCTTGCTGATTGAAAATCTTTGACTTCCGGGCTGGCCCGTGGCTTAGCGGTTAAGTGCGTGGGCTCTGCTGCTGGCAGCCCCGGGTCGCATCCAGGGTGCTCACGGATGCACCGCTTTTTCGGCCATGCTGAGTCCGCATCCCACATACAGCAACTAGAAGGATGTGCAGCTATGACATACAACTATCTACTGGGGCTTTGGGGGGAAAAATAAATAAATAAAATTATTTAAAAATATATATTAAAAAAAAAAAGAAAATCTTTGACTTCATGGAAACTTAATTTTATGGCCAGAATTTTGAACTTGTAAATCTTTTACCAGAATGGTAGTAAGAATTTCTGCATTCAAGTCAGAAAGACCAGGAACTTTACCTAAGCCCCAGCTCTCATCTGTGCAGTGGCAGAACCAATACCCGCCTGTAAGGATTCCTTGAGGATTATTTGAGAAAGATAAAAGGTCCAGTATAGAACCTGGTATATACTAGAACCTTAAAGAAAAAAGAAGACTTTTTTTATTATTTGAAGACAGATTGGGAAACTGCTTTTGCATATTTTGGCATCGAGGGTGATGACTAAGTAAATGTATTTTTAGGAACTAAGTATTTAGGGAATAATTATATTATTTGTTTCTTTATTTATAGGGTTATTCCTAACTGTCAGTTCAGGTCAAAAACGGCACGACTTAAAACTTTTACTGCTAACCAGATAGATGAAATAAAGGACCCTTCTGGACTCTTTTACATTCTTCCTTTTCAGAAGGTAATTCAACTATATGTTATTTCTAGCATTATAGACCTAAATTTAAAGATAATTTTTAAATGTATGTATAAGATTTTGTATGTATGAAAAAATTTTTAGGTCTCTGTTAAGAAGTTATTTAAATTTTAAATAAGATCTTTTTAAAACCAAAAATTGAAATAAATTGTCTTGTTAAAAATAAATGACCCTGGTTTAGTTACTGATTGTGGGTACTGAATTTTACTTGTTTATGTTAAAGCTAAACGAGATGAACACATTAGAGAAAATAAGTATAGGGGCCGGCCCAATTTCATAGTGATTAAGTTCCACGTGCTCCGCTTTGGTGGCTCGGAGTTCGCAGGTTTGGAAACCGGGCATGGACCTTCACCACTCATCAAGCCATGCTGTGGTGGTGTCCCACATGCAAACTAGAGGAAGATTGGCTGTAGATGTTAGCTCAGGGCTTCTCTTCCTCAGGCAAAAAGAGGAAGATTGGCAGCAGGTGTTAGCTCAGGGCCAATCTGCCTCACCAAAAAAATAAATAAATAAATAAAAATATAAATCCCTTTTATTTTTGGTGAGGAAGATTGGCCTTGAGCTAACATCTGTGGCCAGTCTTTCTCTATTTTGCACGTGGGACACCACCACAGCATGGCTTGATGAGTGGTGTAGGTCCGTGCCTGGGATCCAAACCTGCGAACCCCCAGCCTCCGAAGCAGAGCACATGAACTTAACCACTATGCCACCGGCCCGGCCCAGCCTCCCTTTTAAAATATAAAAAAAAAAAAAAAGAAAAGAAGTATAGAGAGGTATATCTACATATTGTTATTTCTTTTGAACCCTTGACGTTTTGGTTATTGTTAATTTGTAATTTTTTGAACCTTTAAAAACAGAAAAACATACCAATATAATGGGTTTGAAATTCAAATAGCATTAAACTGGTGAAGGTAATCACAATGAGATAGAAATCAGTGATTTAGAATATATTAATCTCATTTTTAAAAATTGCTCAAATATTTTTGATAATTTATGAAAAAATTTTTTAGGGCTATTTGGTGAATTGGGATGTTCAAAGACAAGTTTGGGATTACCTTTTTGGAAAAGAAATGTATCAGGTAACAAATTGGAGTATGTATTCAAATTTCTTTTTCCATGCCTTATTCAAATGAAAAATTAGAACTTATATTTTAAGATTTATAAACTTTTGAATATGCTTCTAGTATATATTTAAGTCACTTAATATACTGTGCTTAGCTTTGATTTTCTAAATATTAAATTAGTGCAAGTGAATAGAATTTCCATTTTGAAGTGGAATTTGAGGTTGGGAAGAGACTGTATTAAACTCAAGATTAAAATTTTACTTCAGATTTCTACTATTATTTGACCAATTCACTATCTCATTTTTATTTTCACAATAAAATATTTTTGCCTTCATATCTGAATGTGTGAATGTTACAATATGAGAATCATGTACTTTTAATGTCTATAGTGTGATTTTAGGTGTACTGAGAGAATGTTCAAATTTTGATGCTTCTTAAGAGTGTGTGGGAGAGAATTATGTAAATATTAAATATTCTAAAGCTTCTCAACTTTTAACTTTTAAAAACAAAATAACAACAGTCCCAATCTTGTATCATTTATTATTTTTGCATAATTATCTTTAAACAATTTGACAGTACCATTTTGTTAATGCTACCATTAAGAGAGTTAAAATCGAATAATAGCTAATGTGCATGAATTCTGTAACCAGACTTCCTGAGTTCAAACCTAGCTGTCACTAACTAGTTAGTTATATGAACCTTGGTAACTTATTCAACTTTTTCTCTGCCTTAGTTTGCTCACCTATTAAATGGGATAATAATAAGACCTGTCTCCTAGGATTATTATGAGGATCAAATGTTTGTTTATTTATGTAAAACAAGTGTTTATAATTATAAATACAAAGTTATAAAACTTTTAGGATTTTTTTTCACTCATAGGTTGATTTTTTAGATACTAATATTATTATCACAGAACCATACTTTAACTTCACTTCCATTCAAGAATCAATGAATGAAATCCTATTTGAAGAATACCAGTTCCAAGCAGTATTAAGAGTAAATGGTGAGTTAAAGTTTTGATTGAAATTGAGTTATGTGAATATGGATATGAATAGGCTAAAGAAACACTTAAAATCCAAGAATATTGGGTGACATTCTTTTAGATTTGAAGGAACTAGAACATGGAATTTAAAAACTAGATGAGGGCCGGCCCTGTGGCTTAGCAGTTAAGTGCACGTGGTCCACTGCTGGCGGCCTGGGTTCGGATCCCGGGCGCGCACCGACGCACCGCTTGTCTGGCCATGCTGAGGCTGTGTCCCACATGCAGCAACTGGAAGGATGTGCAGCTATGACATACAACTATCTACTGGGGCTTTGGTGAAAAAATAAATAAATAAAATTTAAAAAAAAAATAAAAAAATAAAAACTAGATGAATCTTTAGAGATTATCTAGTCAGACTTCTCTCACTTTGTTTTTTTACTAGTATGATATTTCTCCCTAATGAAGTTACTCACCACATATTTCTAATCTCTGAAAGATTGTTTCTGAGGTAGTTATATTTTCTGTCAGTAATGTAGTTGCAATTGTTACTATTATTGATTGAAATAATGTTAATAGCTCAGGCTGCCAATATGAGGAAAGACAATCTGTAAATATCATGTAGAAGTAAGTTTATTAAAGGCTAAAATTACATTACATGACTGTATGATGAAAGTATTCAAATATTTAGCTTGCAGAATTTAAGTCTATATAATCCACAGTATACTACAATGGTTAAGATCACAATCTCTAGAATAATCTTAACCATGGGTGATTTTGCTCCTAAGGGGACATTTTGCAATATCTGGAGACATTTTTGGTTGTTATAACTGGGAGGGTGCTACTGGCATCTAGTGGGTGGAGGACACAGATGCTGCTAAACATCTTAGAATGCACAGGAAAGCCTCAACCACGAGGAATTATCTGGCCCAAAATGTCAGTAGTTCTGAGGTTGAGAAACCCTGCTCTAGAGTCAGCTGCCTAAGGTTTGAATCCTGGCTGTGTTACTTTCTAATTGTGTGACCTTGGGCACATAATTTAACTTCTGTATGTTTCAGTTTCTTCATCTGTAAAATGGGATTGTTGTGAGGATTAAAACATACACACTCATGAGTTTAGAATAGTGCCCAGCATGTAATAAATACTCAATAAAATTATCTGATGTTAAAATAATTATAAGCTATAAATGAATATTTACCTTTAAAAATTGATCACAAATTTTTTTTATCATATTTACCACAAAAATGTGATATTTTAAAATGTAAACACTACCAAGAGCTTATGACAGAAATGAATATTATTTTAAATTAACATTTTTTAATAAATAAAGGAAAGTTTTTGTCTTTGTGCTTGCCTTAGTTTGCTACCTTTCTTTATTGCTTTAAATTAATTACACTTTAATGTGTTTATCTTTTTCTTTACCTTTTTTTAAATAGCTGGGGCTCTCAGTGCACATAGATATTTCCGAGATAATCCTTCTGAATTATGCTGTATCATAGTAGATAGTGGATATTCCTTTACACATATAGTTCCTTATTGTAGAAGTAAAAAGAAAAAAGAAGCAATTATTCGGTGAGTTGCATTTAATTTTCACGTTATTTCTTAGGATACAACTGAATGAAATGTGTGGTAAACTGAACCAAATTTGAATTCTCCCTTTTCTAGGATAAATGTGGGAGGAAAACTCCTAACCAATCATCTAAAGGAGATCATATCTTACAGGTAATACTTAGCTTTGACTTTTTGGGAATCAAAGCTATGAACTTCAACTGGCAATGAACTTGATAAAGTAATTTAAAATTATTCTTTACCTTTAGTTGTAACTTCAGTTGGTAATTCTATATTATTGCTTAAAAAACTATATCACGTATGTAAATACTAATGATCAAATTGAAAAGCTTTCTGACATATAGTATGGTAGTGTCCGCTAAAAAAGCATTTCTAAGTTCTAGGGAGTTTAATTTATTAATAACATTTTAAAATTATAAATGTTGTATGTGTACATTGAAAAGCAAATCAAAAATGCATATAGGGGCTAGCCCAGTGGCGTAGTGGTTAAATTTGGTGTGCTCCACTTCAGTGGCCCGGGTTCTTGGGTTCGGATCCTGGGCGCGGACCTACACCACTTGTCAGCCATGCTGTGGTGGTGACCCACATACAAAATAGAGGAGGGTTGACACAGATGTTAGCTCAGGGCTAATTTTCCTCAAGCAAAAAAAAGAAGATTGGCAACAGTTGTTAGCTTAGGGCGAAGCTTCCTCACTAAAAAAAAAAAAGAAACATAAGTAAGGATCTAAAAGGAAAATAAATCTCTGCCTCCCTTTCTATCTCTCATGTCAGTTCCACTCCACACAAAGTATAATATTTAAACTGTATCTTTTATTTATTTTTATTTTTTATTTATTTATTTTTTTTGTGTGAGGAAGATCAGCCCTGAGCTAACATCCATGCTAATCCTCCTCTTTTTGCTGAGGAAGACCGGCCCTCAGCTAACACCTATTGCCAATCCTCCTCCTTTTTTTTTTTCCCCTTTTTCTCTCCAAAGCCCCAGTAGATAGTTGTACGTCATAGTTGCACATCCTTCTAGTTGCTGTATGTGGGACGCGGCCTCAGCATGGCCAGACAGGCGGTGCGTTGGTGCGTACCCGGGATCCGAACCGGGCCGCCAGTAGCGGAGCACGCGCACTTAACCGATAAGACACGGGGCTGGCCCCTGTATCTTTTATTCTTTAATTTCTATAAACCTTAATAATATATTGATATTTCTTTTTCTGGATTAACCAATATTAGGTGACTGTCCACTATTAAAAGGTGAGGAATTAGTGTACTTAGCCACTTCCCAACTCTTCTCCTGCCTCCTAAATTTTATTTATGCTATTATTTTTAATTTTATTGTGTTTAAAAACACAAGTTGAGTTCTTTTTTTTTTTTAATTTTATTTATTTATTTATTTTTCCCCCAAAGCCCCAGTAGATAGTTGTATGTCATAGCTGCACATCCTTCTAGTTGCTGTATGTGGGACGTGGCCTCAGCATGGCTGGAGAAGCAGTGCATCAGTGCGCGCCCGGGATCCGAACCCGGGCCGCCAGCAGTGGAGCGCGCGCACTTAACCGCTAAGCCATGGGGCCGGTCCACAAGTTGAATTCTTAAATCTTAATATCTTGCTACGTTAACTTTGGTCAGTATGATACTGTTAATATCTCTTAGCTCCCCCTATGTTATATTTGAAAATAAGTGAGTCAACATTTCCTTCTACCTTTCCTCCCTCCTTTTTCTTCTTTCTTCTGCCATATGTACCATTACTTTTTGTTAACAGCTTTATTGAGATATAATTCTTGTACCATACAGTTCACTCATTTAAAGTGTACAGTATCAATGGTTTTTAGTATATGCATTCATCACCGCAATCAGTTTTAGAACATTTCATTACCCCAAAAAGGAACCCACTCCTCTTAGCCATCATTCCCCGGTCCTTATCCCACCTAGCTCTAGTATCTTTTTAAATTTTTTTTTATTTTGAAATAATTATAGACTGAGAAAGTTGCAAGAATAGTACATGGAGCCCTGTGTACCCTTAATGACATCTTATATAACTAGTACAATATCAAAATGATAAAATTGACGCTGGTACAGTATTGTTAACCAGACTACAGATCATAGTCACATTTCACCACTTTTTTACATGCATTTGTGTGTGTGTAGTTCTGTGCAATTTTTTTCCCATGTATATAACCTGTGCACTTAATCCTTCCTCTATGCGGAATGAAAAAAATTAATATAGTTTAAAAAGCAAGGCTGTTGAAGTTCAACTTGAGAACAAACTGGCAAGAATACCTAGAAATATTTATGAAAAAGAATAATAGTGAAAGACTTTCTCTAGTAGATGGTAAAACATCTTAAAATTGTAATAATTAAATTAAGGTAATATTTTTAGAAGATTAACTGATAGATCGGTGAGACTGAATAGTTAATCCTGAATCAAACGTTGTAGGTAAAAAAAAAAAGATAATATATACTAAAGAAAGCATCAGAAACCAATCAGGAGGGGATTAATTATTCAGGTAAGAATACAGGGAAAGTTGGCTGTTTGGAGAAAAATTAAAATTTTACTTTGCCTCATACACTAAAGTTCAAATAGATTTAAGACTTAAATATAAAAATAAAAGCCCAACAAGAAAATATTTAACTGAGTTGCTAAGCATAAAACAGTAGAAGAAAAATAATATAGTAGAAGAAATAATACAGGATATATTTTTTCTACATAGAACTTTTTAAAAAAATAAACTTTTATAGAAGTAAAACATACAGAAAAGTACAAACCTTCAATGTACAACTCTAATTTTCAAAAAGTGAACATATCCAAGTAACCAGAACACCGTTCAAGCAGACTATTACTAGCACCCTAACCCCACTTTTGTCCCCTTCGAGTCCGGAAAACCACAGACTTCAAACAGGATACATTTTTGTCAGCTTTTGTGTTTAACTCATAAAAATTTTAAGGGGCCGGCCCAGTGGCATAGTGGTAAAGTATGTGCGTTCCGCTTCAGCGGCCCGGGGTTCGCAGGTTCAGATCCCCGGTGCGCACTGATGCACTGCTTGTCAAGCTGTGCTGTAGTGGCGTCCCATATAAAGTAGAGGAAGATGGGCACGGATGTTAGCCTAGGGCCAATCTTCTTTGGCAAAAAAAGAGGAGGATTGGCATCGGATGTTAGCTTAGGGCTGATTTCCCTCAAAAAAAAAAAAAAAATTTTAAACCTTATGTATGTCAAAAGCCTTTGCAAACAAAACTAAACATGAAACAATATGACACAGGGTTATTACCTTTAATATATTAAGTGCTCTTATCAATCCATAAGAAAAACACTACCCTGGTACAAAATGGTTAGATAATTCTCAGACACACATGGTCAGTGGCACCATTTAGTGAGTTACATATAGTGAAAGCATATAAATGATAATTTCCAGACATAAAAAATGTTGAACACCTGTAGTAACCACAAATTCAGTTCAAATATTTATCAAACATTTATTTAGGAACTTGGGATACATGACTTAACAAAACAGAGAAGAATCCCTCATGGCACTACCTAGTAGAGAAAACGCAAATTAAAATGCCATTTTACAATCCAAATTAATAGAATTTTTTTCAAAAGATGATGTTGCAGATTTGTGATACGGATTTTCTTACTGCTGATTGGAGCATGACTTGAAATAACTTTTCTGGTAAACAATTTGGCAATATACCAAGAGACTGAAAGTATTTCATATTCTGTGTCCTAGAGTATGAATAAATAATGAGCTAATCAGAGATATAAAAATACTTGTATTTCATTGATTCTGAGTTGGACTTTTTTCACTTTTTAACCTCTGAAATTGGGATGAATCCTCTAATCATTGGTACCTTAGAATTGCCATAGTTGAATTAGCATTTTTTCTTCTCGTTGGTGCAATAGTGTATCTTAGAGAAGGTAAATTATGGTGTATGTGATGATGCTTGTTATAGCAAAAACAAAAAGATAGAAGCAATAATGTTTTTATTTATTGAGTATAGGGACTATGCTAAACACTTTACATGTATGATTATAATCATTTACTTCTTACAGCTGTGTTAAATTGGTGATCTTATTACCTTTTTAGAGTTGAAGAGATTGAGTCCCAAAGAAGTAACTTGGCTACTAAGTTGTGATTAAACCTAAGTCTCTGACTCCAAAGTCCATGTTTATAAACACACAAATATCTTTCTTCCCTGATCTAAACTTCCAACATTAGGAACATTGATAAATACATTTTAACAGATCCTTCTGATTGAATATTATAGCGCAGTGAAAAATCATATTTTTAAAGAATATGTAATTGCATAAGAAAATGTTTATGAGATAATATTTAGTCTAAAACAAAAAGTAAACATGTATATAATCTATGTGCAGAGAAAATATTCAAAGGAAATAACTTTACATTTTTGCTTGTTTTTTTAAAACATCTTTATTTTCTGCATTAAGCCTATGTTTTCTTTGATTCACTCATCATAAGCTTCTGCTATGTGCCAGGTACTGGTGCTGACTCATAATACTTCTATAATCAGAAAAGAAAATGTAAAGAGTTACGGCATTTTAGCAAGATTCCATTCAGAATGGTTGGAGAAAACAGTTTTCTCTTTAATTAGATGAACCTTACCACTTAAAACCTCTGTTTTCAATTTCCTTCTGCAAACTGGATTAATATTTGCCCTCAGAGGGATCACGTGGAAATTAAATAAGATAATGGAAATGAGAGTATTCCATAAAGTTAAAAATATTTTAAACATTCAAGAATTTCATATTTAAAAAAATCAGTTAACCTGAAAATTTAATTCCAGAAAAAATATTTTAGATGATAATTTTGTTATATTTAAATTTTTTTCTATTTCAAATTTTATAGTTTTTATTTCTGTTTAGACAGCTGCACGTTATGGATGAAACACATGTGATTAATCAAGTGAAAGAAGATGTATGCTATGTGTCTCAGGATTTTTATAAAGACATGGATATCGCAAAGTATGTATAATGGTAATCTAAGAATCGGAAAGTTGATCCTTGGGTAATGTTACACATAGTTAAAATACTTCATGAGTCTCTATTTTGTTTTCCAGGTTGAAAGGAGAAGAAAATACAGTAATGATAGACTATGTTTTGCCTGACTTCAGTACAATTAAAAAGGGCTTTTGTAAGGTAATTTAAAAAGTCCTCATTGACATTTCTTCAAGTGACCTCAGTCAGATTTGAAAAGCATCCCACTGTGATTGGTGGAGTCTTACAGAATTGTTGACGACTGCCTGCCTAGTGGCCATTTCTCCAGACACAAGTGTATAAATGATTAATAAATATTTCACTGAAATTATGTAGATAAAGAACTGTCAGCCGAATGATAGCACATGGGACAAATCTGGAGGTAAACAGTATCATTGCCTAGATTATGGTTAACCCTATTCTGTTTACTTAAGAATTGGTTTAAATCTAGTTTGAATGTGGTTATTTGCCTGTTGTGAAAATTATTGATGTAGTTGATCCAGGGCCTAGTTTTACTCACATTTGGTCTGATATGATCAGATTATAGTTGAAAGGGGCAAAATCCAATGCACTTTCAAAGTGTTGCAAAGCAGTTTATCTTGAATGTCAAAATAATGTCATTTCTCCTTATCTTTGCTCAGCTCAGTAAATTATCAGTTCTGTGTTTGGGTAAATGTGAAGTTTGCCCTTCTAGTTACTAGCTTGATGAGGACTGTTGGGAGGTTAAAAATCTTCCATCAGAAATGTAAGCATATTTGCACAAGGAGACATTTATGGTATATGTCATTGCAGTATACTTTAAAAGAGTGAAAAATTGGGAAGAGCCTAAATATCCACTAATGGAAGAAGAATAAATAAATTTTGATGTAGTCATATTATAAAATAAGCAATAGTGAAAATGAAGTAGAGCTACATGATCATCATGAATAAATCTCAGAAACATTTCTGTCTAATATGTTTAGACATGATGATGGCTAAAAGCAAGTTTCAGAAGGATATGTACAGTTTCAGGCTGTGTGGAATAGTAATTTATGTTGTTTAGGAATACATAAATATGAAGTAAAAGTATAAAACTATGTAGATGAATGATAACACCAAATTAAAAAGGGGAGTGTTAATTTATCTGTAAAGTTGCATTAAATTGGTTAATGGATACATGGGTTTTATATAATTATCTATACTTCTTTATATGCCTGAAATTAAAAAAAATTTTTTGGCAAGATTTTTGAGGTGAAATACAAATCAGAATTTAGAGAAGGCTACCTGGAGCCTTATAAAATTGAAATCATCCTGTAATGTCCTTAGAAACAGATCCTGTGGAAGCACCTAGGCTGGCTTTCAGAAGTGAGAATTGGAACAGCTTATGGGATCAGGTTCGCCTGGACATGAACTGGGGAAAGAAACTGGAAGCCTGAGTCCTACTTAGGATATGGAAGGGGCCCCGTGGCTTAGCGGTTAAGTGCATGCGCTCTGCTGCTGGCGGCCCGGGTTCGGATCCCGGGTGCGCACCGCTGCACTGCTTCTCCGGCCATGCTGAGGCCGTGTCCCACATACAGCAACTAGAAGGATGTGCAGCTATGACACACAACTATCTACTGGGGCTTTGGGGAAAAATAAATAAATAAATAAAATTATAAAAAAAAAAAAAGGATATGGAAGGTGTATTTTTTTCTTTACAAGATAAGGAAAACTGCTCCAAATATATAGACACCAAGCCTCTTTCTCATTAGGCACATGTGATCATCCTTATATATTATGGCTGATTAAAACACTCCAGTGATATAAAACACCGGATGGAGAATTTACAGTACTCCGTAGAGTTAATAGCGGTAAATGGTGGTAAAGTATTTCTACAGGGATGGACCCTGAGTAAAGTCTCAGTGATTCCCGGTTTCTCCAAACCTGACTGGTCATTGGAATCACCAGGGCACCTGAAAAACAATCCATGTTCTCAGTTCCTGTCTCTGGAAATGCTAAGGGCTTCAGTTTGAAAATTTAAACTTAAATCTCTTCCAGATGATTGGACTGTCAGCTAGGTTTAGAAATCTTTCTCTTTTATAAAACATAGTTCTCTCCTGCCCTGCAAAGGACAACTTATCAACCTATCAGTTTATTGGACATTATCTGCTAAACATTGCCGGTTTCCTCGCCAAATCGTAAGCCTTGTTTTCTCAAATCTGCACCTTACATAGTGAGCCAGTAGAGGTGTGGTTATTGTTTTACTCATCGTCTTGGGAGAAAAAAGGCAGAAGCCATGTAATACTGTTTGCAGCTTTTATTGGCCTTTGGCCTTGTGATCAGTATCTGGTTGTGGACTGTGCGTCATTAACTCGGTATAGACTGCTTATTACCTGTGCACTTTAATATCAGTTGGGTGGACAGTCGGTTGGACTGGACTTTTGCCAGATGATGGAATGTTACATCTGATGTTTATTTCAAAAATAATGGTTTAATCTTTACTTTGTCAATTAATGTTAAAATTTATATTTTATTCACAATGCATGTTAAACATGCATATATCTTAATAATTTTTAAGATTTAGAAACAGTTATATTTACTATGTGTTAGGATTAATCCTAAAATGTATTATTTTGAATTTAATACTTGATTAACTTGTTTTTAGTGTTGCCTGATATGCAACAACTTTGTTGAGAGCTGGTAAATATTTATGAAATTAGAAAAACAATACTACAAAAAATGAAAAAATTATATTTATTTGAGAGCCCTTAGGATATTGTTAAAACTTGGACTTCGATACTTTATTCAAGAATATTTTTAAATACTTGGGAAAAAGTTAAAACCTTGATTTTCTAAGTAGTGATAATAGTAACAATAACAATAATAAGGTCCATAATATCATTACTGATTACAACTGATAGAAATTCCAGTTTTATCTCTTATCAGAAAGAGGATGCCTACTAAAGTATAATGTGCTTGGCTGACCTAAATTGAGAAAATTGCCCTCAGAATTAATGATTATCACTTTCTGCAGAGCTATTTTAATTTAAACTGATCATTTCTTTCATGGTACCAGAATGAAACTTATGAGGGCTGTGCAGTAATCAGGACCTACATTGACTCAAAGCAGCTCCTAGCGGCCCTTCTAAATTCTTTCATTTGTCTATGTCTAAACCAAAAATCTTTTTGGAATTGTGCTCTTAAAAACGGAAACTATTTGTAGTTCCAGATTATATTAACGATTAGTGGCTTTAGAGCTAACATTCAACAAGGATATCTAGTTCTGGTTCTTTGCCCTAGTTAGATATTTGATCCTTGGAAAGCCACATGACCCTCCTCTGTAAAATCAGGGCTGTGGACTAGATAGTCTTTAATGTTTTGTCAACTGAAATTCTCCAAATCTGCATGTGTCTTGTATTATTTTGAGTATTGACAAAATGAGTTATATCCTTTAAACTCAAGCCAACATTGCTTTTAAATGAATTTATAAATTTATAGGAAATATTTTCCACTCTGTCTGAGAAGGAAGAATACTTTGTGAAAGAATAATGTTCTCTTTGCTACTGTAACAGTTTAATTGGGTTAAAAGTGATTTGTAGTTTTCCTTGTTCTTCCTAGATAATTGTGAATATTGTGTAATTTTTGGATATTTTTATTTAAAAATAATATTTTGAGCATGGGATTTCCAAATGATAGAAATTGGAGGGGCCGGCCCGGTGGTGCAAGCGGTTAGGTGCGTGTGCTTCGCTGTGGTGGCCCGGGGTTTGCCAGTTCGGATCCCTGGCGCACACCGACACACTGTTTGGCGAGCCATGCTGTGGCGGCGTCCCATATAAAAAAAAAATAGAGGAAGATGGGCATGGATGTTAGCTCAGAGCCAGTCTTCTTCAGCAAAAAGAGGAGGATTAGCATCAGATGTTAGCTCAGGGCTGATCTTCCTCACAAAAAAAGAAAAAGAAATTGGAATCATTCATATCCAGATTGAGAGAGGCAGTATAGTGGAAGGAATATGTTGTATGTGCTTTTGGTTATTAGATGAATGATCCTGAGCAAGTCATGTCACCTTGCCAAGCCCAACTGCATCATTAATAAAAGGAAAACATGCCTACCTTACAGGGTTATGGGAATGTTCAGTGGGATAATGTATGTTAAATGGTTAATACAATGAATGGCACATTGTTGACTTGTGTGCTGCTTTCAAAAATTTATTAAATACTTGTTGTGTACCTGATACTATGCTATGCTAGGTAGTGGATATGTGATGGCACACAGTATAGACTGTGAAGGATAATATAGAGAATAATGGAGGGACCTTTTATGTGGGAGTCAAAAAGCTTCTCTGAGGAAGCTGAAATCTGAACAGAGAGGAGATAACTGATTATTTTAAGGCATCTTTAATATTCTTTATATATATTACTGTTTATTAATATTTCTTTTCATATATTTTAAGGTTTTTTAATACTTATATAAAGGATTGGGATATACTTTGTTATTTGAGGAAAACTGCATATGTAAGTCAAATGAAATGAATATCTATGACCAAATCTAGGTGAGCTGATGATTCTTAGTAAAATTGCGAGGGACCATTATTATTATTTTTTTTTTATTGATGTTTTAATGGTTTCTAACATTGTGAAATTTTGGGTTGCACATTTTTGTTTGTCCATCACCATATATATGACTCCCTTCAACCCTTGTGCCCCCCACCCCCACTGCCCCTGGTAACCACAGTCCAGTTTTCTCTGTCCATGTGTTGGTTTATATTCCACATATGAGTGAGATCATACAGTGTTTGTCTTTCTCTTTCTGGCTTATTTCACTTAACATAATACGCTCCAGGCCCATCCATGTTGTTGCAAATGGGACAATTTTGTCTTTTTTTATGGCTGAGTAGTATTCCATTGTATATATACCACATTTTCTTAATCCAATCGTAAGTCGAGGGACACTTAGGTTGCTTCCACTTCTTGGCTATGGTGAATAATGCTGCAATGAACATAGGGGTGCATAAGCCTCTTTGGATTGTTGATTTCAGGTTCTCTGGATAGATTCCCAGTAGTGGGATGGCTGGATCATAGGGCATCTCTATTTTTAATTCTTTGAGAATCTCCATACCGTTTTCCACAGAGGCTGCACCAATTTGCATTCCCATCAGCTGTGTATGAGGGTTCCTGTTTCTCCACATCCTTTCCAACATTTGTTGTTTTTTGTCTTGGTGATTATAGCCATTCTAATGGGCGTGAGGTGGTATCTTAGTGTTGTTTTGATTTGCATTTCCCTGATGATTAGTGATGTTGAGCATCTTTTCATGTGCCTATTGGCCATCTGTATATCTTCCTTGGAGAAGTGTCTGTTCATTTCCTCTGCCCATTTTTTGATCGGGTTGTTTGTTTTTTTGTTGTTCAGTTGTGTGAGTTCTTTATATATTATGGAGGTCAACCCCTTGTCAGATGTATGTTTTGCAAATATTCTTTCCCAGCTGGTTGGTTGTCTGTTCATCTTGATTCTGGTTTCATTTGTCTTATAAAAGCTCTTTAATCTGATAAAGTCCCACTTGTTTATTTTTTCTTTAGTTTCCCTAGTCTGGGTAGGCATGTCATCCGAAAAGATTCCTTTAAAACCAATGTCAAATAGTGTGTTGCCTATATTTTCTTCTTTGAGTTTTATAGTTTCAGGTCTCACCTTCAGGTCTTTGATCCATTTTGAGTTAATTTTTGTGAATGGCGATAGCACATGGTCCACTTTCATTCTTTTGCATGTGGCTGTCCAGTTTTCCCAACACCATTTATTGAAGAGACTTTCCTTTCTCCATTGCATGTTCTTAGCACCTTTGTCAAAGATTAGCTGTCCATATATGTGTGGTTTTATTTCTGGGCTTTCAATTCTGTTCCATTGATCTGTGTGTCTGTTTTTGTACCAGTACCATGCTGTTTTGATTACTATTGCTTTGTAGTATGTTTTGAAGTCAGGGATTGTGATGCCTCCTGCTTTGTTATTTTTTTTTCAGGATTTCTTTAGCTATTCCGGGTCTTTTGTTGCCCCATATAAATTTTAGTATTCTTTTTTCTATTTCTGTGAAGAATGTCATTGGGATTCTGATTGGGATTGCATTGAATCTGTAGATTGCTTTAGGTAATATAGACATTTTAACTATGTTTATTCTTCCAATCCACCTGCATGGGATATCTTTCCATTTCTTTATGTCATCATGGATTTCTTTCAATAATGTCTTGTAGTTCTCATTGTATAGGGCGAGGGACCATTATTTTAATGATGTGTAGAATATTGTAGAAGATGATTATTTTCTCTGGCCCCTTCAGCAACACAGCTCACAGAATGGGTGAGTTAGCAGAAAATAAATAGCAAGAGAATTTCAGTGATAAAAGTCCATGTATTGGCTTAAGTTATTTGGAAACTGATTTTTGAATAGAGATTGAATAAGTAATAAAGAAATTTAGAGATGTAGGCTTTTTGGACAAGGGAAAGGGGAAATTCTAATAGAACAAAACTACAATGTCCAATAAACATCTAAAGTAGGGGAGTGAAAGTAAACAAGGGTAGAAACATAAGACATGGTAAATGTTTTCATTTAGAATATGTTCTCTAGAAACTCAAATCATTCTACTATTATAGCTAGATCATGAAGTTCCCTCTCCTCTGTTCTCCTTCCTTTCTGTTTTAAAATGTGTGGAATAAAACCAGATCATCTTTAGGGGAATAGCTATATTAGAGTCAGTAATTATTTATTTGTGTGGTTTAGGCAACAGGAGAGAAGACCACCTTTTTCTAACTTCTGAGTATCTTGAAACTTCAAAGAACATGGTTAATATATTAGTTTTACATATTACTAAATGTTATTAGTTATGTGAGCTAGATAATGTAGCTTAAATGTTTTTATCTTGTTTTTCTTTAAGCCAAGGGAAGAGATGGTGTTAAGTGGAAAATATAAATCTGGGGAACAGATTCTTCGTCTGGCCAATGAGAGATTTGCTGTTCCAGAAATCCTCTTTAATCCTTCTGATATAGGCATTCAAGAAATGGGAATTCCAGAAGCTATTGTCTATTCAATTCAGAACTTACCTGAAGGTACATAGTTACAGTAAAATATTGAGGAATAATGATATATTTTAAGAAATCATAAGCTCTCTGAACCCTAGAGAAGTCGTGTGTTCTTTCTAAATAATTCAGACAAATGGCAAGTCTGTTTTATTCATGGAGATGTGCAGATCTCAGAATGCACTTGAGTAATTCTTACTTTATTGGTCCTAGATTGTAAATTTGATATAGGGAAAGTCATTATGGTACATTTAAACTTGAAGAAATTCATCTCCATGAGTATTAAATTGCCATATCCATTTTAGAAAAGTTTTAATATAAACCCAAATCTGCACAGAATACAAATTTATAATTTAACAATTAGATGATTTTTGCTGTTGATGGGACTGGTTTGTTCTTTCTGTTATATTTGGAAGTTAATTTTAATGAGGTTGAAGTATGGTGCTTCACAGTGATGTGTGAGTTCTCCTGAAGCATGATTTAATTAAAGAATTTTCTAGAGTTTTAAGTACTTTTATATCTTGAAAGTGTCTTCCTAGTTCATAAGGAACAGTCTAGGCATTGGAGAAAATCCAGCACATGCAGTGTCCTTTCCTCCCATTTCAAAAAAAAAGAAAGAATGAAAAAAGAAAGTTGTATAATGCCATCACTTTATTATTTCACAACTATTTTCATATTAATATTTCATATTAATTTCACATTTTATATAAAGTTGCTGTCATGATATACACAACATTTTGTACTACACTGCTTTAATGTCATGTCATTGAGACTCAGTGTCAGTATAAGGAACTCTGTCCTCATTTCGTGAACAGAAGCATTAGGTGGGATGGCCAGTATCTGTTAATTCCTGATAGATTTCCCAGTGGTGCTTAGTACGCTTTTAATACTGGTTAACCATATGGCACTTAATGCTTGCCATCATGTAACTTTAATGAGTATAGAACATAAGATCCTTTCTTTAAACATTATTATAGATTATGAGTATTTTTCACTATCAAATGTAAGTATTGTACATAAATATATCTGTCTCAGATAACATGGAAATGTGGGCTCCCAAGTTAAAATGTCATGAAGGACCTCCTTTTCAGCCTTACACTAGCTCATCATCTCAGCCTACAGAAAGATCCCCTCCATTTTAGGAAGAACAATTATAGTTATCAAATGTCTGCTACTAGGATGTTTCTCATTTATATATCGTTTACATGGGTATATAATAAGTAGCCAGCAGTTCAACCCTTTCCCCTTAGCGTTTCTTTTAAAGATCTCTGAGGTTATACTTGACTCTGTTGAAATGTGTCTATTTGTGTAAACTATAACTTCATTACAAAATCTTATAAATTATAATTTATATGGTTATAAAAAAATTTTATGGTTTCCCAACCAGTAACTGTAATCTAATTGCTCTTACCTAAGCCCTCATCCCCATCTTTCCAGAAAGATAAACAGATTTTCTAATGCCTTTTTTCTTCCTTCTTTTTTTTTTTTTCTCTTACAGAAATGCAGCCGCATTTTTTTAAGAACATTGTTTTGACAGGAGGAAATTCCCTTTTCCCAGGATTTAGAGATCGAGTTTACTCAGAAGTTCGATGTCTCACTCCAACAGATTATGATGTTTCTGTTGTGCTGCCTGAAAAGTAAGTGTGGGCTGATAGAGAAACAAAACATGGAAAGCATTTTGTAGATAAAGTGGTCTATAGACAGATTTCAGTTTAAAGCCTGGTTCTACCACACTGGCAGGTTTACTTCACATTTGGCATCCTCATTTTCCTTTTCTCAAAAATTGAAATGATAAACCTTATGTTTCAGTGGATTAAATGGGATGAAGTATGTCAAGTGCCAACCATAATGGTTAATACATAATGGGTGCTCAATTAATATAAGATCACATCCATATAGTAAATCAGTCCTCATTCCTAAGAGATTTTTACAGTCAAAGCAATCAGGTTGTAATCTATTTGATTTATCTGAGATGTATCATTTCTTGACAGTTTCTATCAAGAATATAAATTTAAAAATTAAATCATTAAGATAAGTTATGTCAATTTATAAGTTGTTTTGGAATGTTTTAAAGATTTTATTTATTTTATTTTTTCCCCCCAAAGCCCCAGTGGATAGTTGTGTGTCGTAGCTGCACATCCTTCTAGTTGCTGTATGTGGGACTCGGCCCCAGGATGAACGGAGAAGTGGTGCCTCGATGCGCACCCGGGATCCGAACCCGGGCCGCCAGCATAGCAGCGCGCGCACTTAACCACCAAGCCACAGGGCCGGCCCTGGAATGTTTTAAAATACTTTGATATTTTAAATAAACTTTTACATTTAACTAGTCTTTTTTTTAAATTCAGAACTCTTTTATTTCTACCCCCATCCTGTTTTATGAGAAAAAGCAGATATCATCATTTCCACTTTAGTGGTAAAAAAAAAAAATTAAGGTAGAATTTTAGAGCTGTAAGAAAGGCTTACAGATCATCCTGTTTGATGTTCTTACTTTGTAAATAAAGAAACAAGGGCTCATGACTTGGCAAAGGCCTTACGGTGAGTTAATAGCAGTTGCCAGACTAATACTTAATTCTTGAGTCAGTAGCTCTTACCAAATATGTGTCTAAATAACACCCAGCCCCAGTCTTAAGTGGCAGAGTTGCAAACAAGACCCCACATACCTGACTCCTAATTTTAGAGTTTTGTTTTAAAGCTAAAGTAGAATTTTCAGAATCAACAGCAGTTAATAGAAGGCCCTCATCTGATCACTTAATTTTTATAGCTATCAGATTGGAATGATTTTTATCAACAGTAATGTTCATATACTCTTTGGAGTATGAAGCATAATGGATTTTCATTGTGCATTTTAAATACAAGCAAGTCGTGCACACATTACAGGCCAAGGGATCCACAGAAAATAGTTTCTATACTTCTATTCATCAAATCTTTATTGCACATCTACTGTGTGGGTGTGTGTGTGTGTGTATATATATATAAATATATATAAAGGTTAGGAAATGGAATAAATACAATAAGGAAAACATTTATTGGGCCGGCCCTATGGCTTAGCGGTTAAGTGCGTGCCCTCTGCTGCTGGCGGCCCGGGTTCGGATCCCGGGCGCGCACCGACGCACTGCTTCTCCGGCCATGCTGAGGCCGCGTCCCACATACAGCAACTAGAAGGATATGCAAATATGACATACAACTATCTACTGGTGCTTTGGGGAAAAAAAAGGAGGAGGATTGGCAATAGATGTTAGCTCAGAGCCAGTCTTCCTCAGCAAAAAGAGGATTAGCACGGATGTTAGCTCAGAGCTGATCTTCTTCACAAAAAAAAAAAAGTGGAGGAAGATGGGCATGGATGTCAGCCCAGGGCCAGTCTTCCTCAGCAAAAAAAGAGGAGGATTGGCAGATGTTAGCTCAGGGCCTATCTTCCTCACAAAAAAAAAAGTAGAGGGTCCAGGGGCCAGCCCGGTGGCGTAGCGGTTAAGTTTGCGTGCTCTGCTTCTGCGGCCTGGGGTTTGCAAGTTCGGATCCCAGGCGCAGACCTATACACCGCTCATCAAGCCATGCTGTGGCGGCATCCCATATATAAAATAGAGGAAGATGGGCATAAATGTTAGCTCAGGGCCAATCTCCCTCACCAAAAAATAAAAAAAATAAAAGTAGAGGGTCCATAAATTCAGAGTACAGGGAAAAAAAAAAAAGAAACACTTAACTTGTAGCGTTTACCAAGATTCTGTTCTTTCTGTGTTTGCTTTACTCCTATGAAGCTTATGCTTATTTTCATACTTTAAATGATTTTCTGTTAAATCAGGTTGGGTAGAGATTGCCACGTTTTAGTTACTAATTAATGTTTCTGGCATTCCAGTTCTGTAAAATCATCTGGGTTCATTTATTTTACCTTTATTTTTAGCCCTATTACTTATGCCTGGGAAGGTGGAAAATTGATATCAGAGAATGACGACTTTGAAGATATGGTAGTAACAAGAGAAGATTATGAAGAAAATGGACATAGCGTCTGTGAAGAGAAATTTGATATTTAAGAAACATTTCTGAATGAAAGTTTTGACTGGTTGTGACAGAAAGGTTTAATTTCAGTGTGCTTTTTAAAAAAGGTTAAGGACCTGTGTTACCTTTCATCCTAAGATAAAATCTTAAACTTATGTAAATACTTTGATCCATGGCTAATTTTCAAAGGTTTCTTAGCTAGGTTATTAATTAAACTGTAACTCAGCCCATATTTTCATTTAGGAGCTAGACTACTATAACAATGCTTGTGTTGTTTCTGAGAGTAGGTTATCTTTCATTAGAAGGTGAAAGAGTGAATGTATGTTAAGTTTAATTCTTCATAGTTGAAAGCGCAAACTTAACTGTCTGACTGGTCAGTTTTCCTTAGAAGGTAGTTGTGTGTGACTATGACTAAGACTTGGCCAAAGTGTTTTCTAGCTGATATGATTTCTCTCTCTCTTTCAGAACTAATTAGTTTATTTTAAAATTGTCATAAGGTTGGAAGGACTAATCTTACGTGTGCTTTAAAGTTTTATTTTTTACTTAGAGTAAGTTTGAAAGAATGGAGATTAAAGCCAATTTACTAAAGTGTTTTTGGTTACTATTGTGTTGGCATAAATGTATTATTTCACTCATAAAAATACTGTACCATTTTTTTAGGATGAAAAGAAATTTGAAGTTGGGGTTGTTCAAAAACTCTCAATACAAATGTTAGTGTTTAGTTTTAAAAACTCTTTTATTATCCACGGTAAGCATTTTAAAGTTAAAGGCTACAGCTTTCCAGTTTAAGGAAACAGCTGACAGAGACATTAATAAATGGATCAGGTAGGTTTCTTTGATTGCAAACAGTAGAAACTCATTTGGCAATGCTAAGCAAACCAAAAGTTATCAGGACAGAGGACAGCTCATAAAATCTAAGAAAAGGCTGGACTAGTAGCCTTAGGAAGAATAAAAACCAGGATATCCTTAGGAATCTAGGTTACAGATACCAAGGGACAATCCTTATAGAGCCCTGCCATCAAAATATCTCAGCTTCTGTATTTTCTATCTCATGTCATTGTGTTCATGAATCAAATTCCTACCAGTCTCTTTACCCTGGTGAGGATCATGCACCTACCCCGTGGCTTCAGGGACTTGGACTGTCCTACTACGATAGCCTAGAGTGAAAGAAGGTAGTTTTGCAAAGGAAAATTAGGGTGAAGAGACAGTTGTTGAGCAGGGTGAAAGAGCTGTCCACTACAGTTACATCTGGATTGTACTGGATTAGGGCCTGGTCACTCCTTCCTAGACCTAGGCTGGTTATCATTCCAGAGTTGCAAATTGTGATTGTTTGTGTGATACCCAGTTACTAGCAAATAATCTGTGGGCAGTGTAGCAAAAAGATGCTGGTGGTATAAAGGAAGGTTTTGGATCCATAGAGTGTAACAGTGCTAGAATTTCAAGGTGATGTGGTTGGAGCTAAAAAGCTAAGTCCCCATTTAAAGGGCTTTCCGTGACTTGTCAGGAATTCATCTTGCGCAGGCAGAATATTATCATTACCAACCAGGGTGTTTTTCCTGTGAGGAACTGGGACATTCCTCAAAGCTGCATCCCCAAAACATGCCCTAGCCTGAAGTCTCCTGGTATGTTCTGCTGAGAACGATGTGTGTTTTCACATGCTTATAGTAAACTGTAATTTCTGTATAGAGTATAGGCCTCATAGTGCTCATTTTTGGGAAACTAAAAATTCATTTCTGAAATTAATGAACATAGACCCTAATCCTTATCATCAAAGCTCCCATCCAACACCTACCTAATTTTGAAACTTCATTGCTAGCGATAATGTTTTAATGTTATACAATAAGTTGACTTAAAAGAGAAGATTTAACATTACTTCTAAATAATAACGTTGTCTGAGTTGATGCATTAAAGATATCTATTATTTTGGAAAAATATTGATGATCCTAATTTGAGATTCACTAGAAATAGAGAATTTGGCCAGGTTAGAATTTATAGTTTTTTATTGCAGATTGCACACACGGAAGTACTGTGTTCCACTGTTGGCCATGCATAATATACACCTTAAGACAATAGAGGATTAGGAGTTACAGCAATGAGTATTCAAGATACACCAGTCCTCTCAAGCACTTCTCTCTGTTGGTTTTGAATTTTTTAATTCAGTGTTGATTGGCTTGACATAGCAAACTGATCATGCTCACCTGCTTTTCAACCTGTCCCAAATCCCTTTAAAATATTCCCAGTGGAGAAGGGTGGGAGGTAAATGAGACCAGGGAGGAATGCCCAGGGAACACTTCAGTGATTTGTGACATATTATTTCTCAAGCTGGGTGGTGGGCATATGGGTATTCATTATATTAGAATCTATACTTTATTGTATACATGAAATAGTTCATGTATTTTGATATTCACAATACGTGAATTATGTATGCAAGAAAAATGCATGTATTTTGATAGAAGAGTAAATCCTTAAGTGACTCCAGGAAACAAAAAGGGTAGCATTGATGAAAAAATATGGAAGAATTTCTAAAAGATGGAAATCAAATGGGATTAGATTGTTAGAGAAACAAGAACAAGAAAACCCATGTCCCAGATTAGGGCAGGAAAAAACTACTAAAGACGTAAGAACAATTCCAGAGATATTTTAATTCAGGACAAATACAGAGAGTACAAGATCATTAAACAAATGAATTGGAAACAGCTGAGCCTCAATTCCTTTCTTGGAATTGAGGCTCAGTGGTAAGAATTGAAGTATAAGGGTTGGAAAGAGAAACAGAATACATCCTGAGGGCCGGCCCCATGGCTTAGTGGTTAAGTGTGTGTGCTCCGCTACTGGTGGCCAGGGTTTGGATCCTGGGCGCGCACCGACGCACCGCTTCTCCGGCCATGCTGAGGCCGTGTCCCACATACAGCAACTAGAAGGATGTGGAACTATGACATACAACTATCTACTGGGGCTTTGGGGAAAAAAAAGCAGGAGGAGGATTGGCAACAGATGTTAGTTCAGAGCCGGTCTTCCTCAGTAAAAAGAGGAGGATTAGCATGGATGTTAGCTCAGGGCTGATCTTCCTCACAAAAAAAAAAAAAAAAGAATAGATCCTGAAATAATGTCATATCCACTAAGAATATCAGAGTAAAAAAAAAAATTTAAGGGAACAGCTGATTGTGGCACTGATCTCTGGCTAAAGAAAAGAGCTCAGATCTCATTAGAAAGACTTTTGACAGGGTAGGGCCCTGGGGAACTTAGTATACCTTCCTCCTGCAGAGGAAAGGCACCAAAACTAGAACTTACATTCACTGACAAGTAAACAGGAATTCATAAATGAAAAAAATGAACAACCAAGCATTAAAATTTTGAGGGATACTTAATACCATCAAAGAGGCACCAAACCCAACAAACAAGAATGAACCCCTAAGGGAATAAATTAAAAGAAACTTTATAAGTAATATTCTCTAAGAGACTGATGAGGCAATTGCATCTATTGCAACAAGAACAAGTTGCTATAACAAAGATCTTAGAAATTAAAAATAGGATTACTTATGCTTAATTGATGGGTTGAATAGCAGAATGGACACTACTAAAGACTGAAACACAGAAAGAAGCTGAGAGAATTTTCCCAGAATATAGCACAACTGAGCAAGCAGTGGGGTGGCTGGGGAAGAAGGCTAGCCAATATCCACAGTATAGGCTATGTTGTCTGCCTAGTAAGAAGAGCCTTCCCTATAGAAGAGGCCTTTTGATGAGCTTTCACACAGGACAGATATCCTTGCACTTGGGGCCTATTCTGAGATGTCCATCCACATCCTTCCTAAAGCTTCCTAAAGCATCCTTCCTAAAGCCAGGTTTCTTATCTTGTAGTTTTCAAGTCTCTGATCCTCTAGTCAAATTACTAGCCATATCTTCATACAAATTGAACAACCAGAAATGCTCTCAGTTCTGCTCCCTGGGATCATTTCTCTTCCCCACTGCAGGTTAGGCATGCACAGCAGCATGCCATCATCAAGTGGAAGTGGAAATACAAGACTGAACTCAGGTTGGACAAGTTAATTGCATGAGCTCACACTCAGTGCATTTCCTCTTACTGCACTGTTTACCTTTTCCTCAACCCACATCTGAGACTTCATGGAGGTTCTCTAATAGCAAAGAGAAGAAAATTCAAACCTGGTTTATAGGTGGTTCTGCATGATATAGCAGGCAGCAGCCAGAAGTGGAGTGTTGGCACAGATCAAATGTTGAATTATTACACCTGTGAATGAATCACTTAGGCTACAAAGAGTTGCCTGTAGTGTCACTGGTCACAAAGTGGTTAAGTGACAAATCTGGAGCTGCAACAGCTTTTTGGTTTTTATGTTCAACAGTCTTTCTAGCACACAAGCAATTTGCATAATAAAAGCACTTCTAAATCCACTTGTAGAGAGTACAGGGAGGAAAGTTGCCAGAAAAAAAGTCTCAAGAATGGCTTCCAGCCTTGAACATTCTTTATGTATATAGATTACATGAGAGAAAAGCTTTGTTTCAACATTTATTTCCTTGAGTTAGAAAATCTTTTATTTACCTGGATAGTACTTGAGAATGTGAATAATCCAAGTTTAAGCAATTTTAAGCACTATGAATCAGGCTGTTCAATTCTCGTGGAAATTTACTGAATATTCTAACAGGAGGTAAGCTTTTCAGTGACTGCAGCTGGATTTTAGTTATACAGACAGAAAAATATTTTGCACATAATAAAGTTCCTCAAAAAAGGGTTAGCCTAAAATTGAATGACAATACCCTTGGGAATTCCTTTTAAGCCTAATGACTGTAATGTATGGAGCTGTCACTAGGTGGAGTGGCACTGCTGGGTTTGGCATTTCTCTTTAGAAATTAATGCCTCAGAACCTTCAAAAACCATTCAGAACTCAATTTTTCTTTGTAAACAAGTTTAATTGAATAGTAGTGTATACGTTGATCAAAATAAGCTCCATTAGGGAATGTTATAGGAAATGTCATTCAATTTAAATGATGGTAAAACATTTCAGGCATTGCTGAACAACTCTAACTTCTAGTAATTCCACTATTTCTAAATTGGGTTTTACCCTAATCTAGGGCGTTCACTTGCTAACATTTTCCCTTCTGAACCCAAATAGGTCAAGTAGTAAATCCAGGGCTCCGACTCCAGGGCCCTACTGTTGTTACCTACCTACTTACCTACTTGGTAGGTAACACACTCTTCCTCATACCTTTGATATTTCTGGTCCATCTTATAAATACAAACCTATGCATGTATGTTTTTATTCGAGAGATTAAAAACAAACCAAAACTGAGGCTCAGAGGGAAGAGACTCACTTAAGGTTATATATAATCTTCTGAGCAGCAGATCCAAGGATATGGTAATATCCTTAACTCATTTCTCAAAGTGCCAGCCATTCATAGTGATAACAAACAATTCCCCACCTGATTAACACATAATGTTACAATGAAGGCTTTCCAAATAAGGAGACTCTCTCCCACACCCCCTTAAATAAAAAGGGTTTGGCTGCACGTTACCAGTATTTTCCCGGTCTCTCTAGAACCACCCTCTCAGGTCTTCTACTGGAGGTATATTAATTTCCTCCCCGATTCAAAATAACCATACACAGATTAGGGCAGCTACATCTTCTGGTGTCATAGAATTGTTTTACTTTGTTTTTTGTTTTAAGTGGGCAGGAACTTAGGTGTAAACAAAAAGTTGCACACAGTTTCAAAAAGTACACTGTACTTTGGCCCTCTGAAACCTTTTCACAGACTCAGTTGAAAACTTTGACTCTAAGCATTCATTCGACAAATGATACAGTTTTTGTACGAAAAGATAAAACTGATGACATTAGTTCAATGTATATTTTTTCAAGTACTTATGACAGATGCTTCTCTTTCCCTGCGATTGAGGCATAAATTAAGAGTATAAAAGAATGTATCTCTGTAACTTTCAACAGGGATTGAATCTTCAACTTACGTCACATTGAGAGAGTGATGCTATAAAGTGAACTAACCAACTTAGAAAGAGAGGAAGAGACCGACAAAAGAAGAAAATCATAAAATACTATATAGACTAAAGAAGAATTAGAGAAGGCAAAATCCTGGTTTTAGATAGTTATGAATTTTAAATTTGTGGCTTTTAAAATCTACTTTATAAGTCTTACCCTGTTTAGATGATTCACACTATTTAAGTTACAGTAGCCTAAGGGGGTAGCTTAAAAATAATATATATTAAGGAAAGTATATGCTTTCTTCATAGAACTTCTGTATGAATGTTCCTTTACTGTAGGAAAAGAAATTCTAAGGAAATTAACTGTACCAGATCCCTAATAATAGCAGCACATTTAATAAGTGATTTTAGCAGCATAATGATTAAGTGAATCAGCATACATGAACTTAACTTGTATTCCCTTTTAAAGTTAAAAAATCCCTTAACATTTTTTTAAGATCAACTCGCTAAGCAACTTTTAAATATACAATATAGTATTATTAACTATAGTCGCTATGCTGTACATTATATCCCCAGGACTTATTTATTTTATAACTGGAAGTTTGTACCTTTTGACCTCCTTCCTTAATATCTTTTTAAACATGATCACACTTAAAATGCTTGGAGGCTATCCTGTCTCTGAAGTGTAAGTAGCAGTTTGAGAAAATCACTAGAGAGTTGTTTATATTTACAGATTATAGTTTCTTGCCTCAGAAATGTTAATGCAAAGCTTCTGGATGGTGTTTTTGAAATTCTTTGATTAACTTCTTTTTTTGTTTCAAAGAGATGCTGGAGTTAGTATAAATCTCAAGAGCCAACTGGTGAAGATTTTGAATTGTCCTTTCCTTTCGTTTTTCAAACTCCTTGTATGTCAAGCGTTGGCAAAATATGAAGCCTTAAAAAAAAAAAAGTACAATTGGAAAAGCAAATTAAAAAAAAAAACTAGAATGTACTTATCTGAACTGGCCTTATGCTAGACTTATTTTTTTCCAAAATATGGTAGATAACATTACTTATGCTCACATTTTTTTGCTTCAGAGTAATAATACTGTTTTTTACAAGTGCTCTATGCTTTAGCAAAACATACACTATCTTATTTTACATACATTATTTTTATTTGATCTCCAAAATAATTCTATGAAGTAGGAGAAGGAAATACTATCCCAGTTTCAAGAGGAATACACAAGGAATTGAAGTGACATGGCTAATAAATTGGAGAGATAGAGGAGGAAAAAGTTTTTCTTGACCCTTTTAGAGTCCCTGGCTGTGTCTGAAAAATAAACTAAGATTAAGACAGATTAATAGAAAAGCATACAAATTTATTTAATATAAGTTTTATGTGACATGGGAGCCTTCATAAGGAAATGAAGACTCAAAGAAACAGACCTATGTACTTTTATGCCAGGTTTGATAAAGAGTGGAGTCATGGAATGAGGAATATGATAGGTTAAGGAGTATGAGATGATTGTAATAAACTGGGGAGACTTAGCAAGGCCTGTTTGTTTGGATTCTTCTTGGCATCCCTTTGTTTTCGGAGATAAAGATGTTCCTTTCCTCCAGGTACAGGGAGGGCACCTCTCACATGAGTCTTTTATGGCCTGTTTCAGGGGAGAAGGGTGAGGGGAGGGGGGAGGAGGTCAGAGTGACCTTCCTGCTTCTGTCATTTTCCCAAACTCCTTCAGCTTAAAATAGTCAGTATGCTAAGTGCCATATTTTGGAGTGGTGTATCCTGAACCCCATCAGAGGCATGTTCAAAACATGAACAAAGAATGTCATGAACATGAGCAGAGTTTTTTCACTGCTTGTACAGTCATGCACAGTCAACCAAGCCTCTCCCTTTGCTGATCTACAGATGAAGACACCTTAGCCTCCACACACACCAAAGCAATTCTCAATCAGAGTAACCGTTGAAAGCCGAAATCCCATTAATAGCAGCATTTTTGCTTATCTTCACTATAATGGCCTTCACTTAAACACATCTATGGTGATACCCTGGAATTACACTGCCTCTGAAAACTTAAACTCCTGCACCCAACTCTCTTTAGGATCTACTATCCCTCAAATAATATAATAGTAGCTTACAATGAGTGCTTACCATGTGCCAAACTTTTTGTACTTTTTTTCATTAAATCTTCATTATCCTAAGGTATAGATGTATAGGCATTATTATCAGCCCTACCTTATTGATAAACAAAAGCTTGGACCACATGGCTAGCAAGTAGCTAGGCTAGGTTCTGAACCTAGGATTGTCCACTCTGGGGCTTGGGGTCTTGACCACCATGTATGATATACTGCCTTCAGCTCTGTCACAACTCTCATCAATCTCACAACATCAAACCCTGATGTGCCACTTTTCTTTGTTCACCATCTCTTCTTTCCCATCCTGAGTCAGACACATATCTGAACATTTGAACCACTCTCTCTCTAATATGTGTCCTCAATTCTCTTGCACTCCTATTTTCTGCAACACCTGACAAAGTAAAATCCCAGCTCTTAATCAATGCTTGAATCCACCTTTTTCACTCCAACATTTAAGTACATAAGTGCTGCTGGGAAAAATCATACTATCCAAAGTGGCACCACTAAAATTTATAATCGACTTCATATGGGTGCTCAGAATTACTCATCAATCCATTTACTTGTCTTTTCTCAACTGCTCTTCCCATTCTCCTAACCTATTTCAAACTATTCCCTTGTCATGTCATCCATTCAATAGTCCTCCTCCAACTCCTCAGACAATATGGTCTCCTCCTCCTACTTTGTCAAGGAAAATGGATTCATCACTTAATGATCTCCCTCAGCTTTCTACCTTGGACCTAAACTTTTATTTACATCCACACACACTGTCACCTTTACTCCAGTATCCCTCCTCCTGTTCCAGGCAAACCCTTGGTCCTGTGCCCTAGAATGCATTTCCTCCTGCCTCCTCCAGGGCCTGGCTCCATCAGTCATCTCTTTTTTTCAATATCCCCTTTCTTCTGTTGCCTTTCTCTCAGCAGCTCTGTAGGCAAATCTCTGGCTTGACTTAGCACTGCCCCAGTTATTGCCCAGTTTCTCTCTTCCCCTGCTTATCATATATCCACTCTTAATTTCTTTACCTATTCACTCCGTTTCATCCCACTGCAACCTGGCTTTTGCCTCTCAAGCTACTAAATCAGCTCTCACTAACTGGCTCCAGATAGTGGCAGTCCTCATGGGCCACATGGAATCTTCCTTCTTAAAATGTTACATTTCCTTGGCTTTATGATCATGATTTCATTTCATTCCCCTCCCAACATTTCTTTCTGTCTCATTTATAGGTTCCTCTTCTCACCCCTTGACTATTAGTGTCCCTATTAAGGGACACTATCCTTGGACCTCTTATTTTACTCAACAAACTCTAAATGACCTCAATTTCCAAATGCTCCCAGATATTTAGTTTTAGCTCAGATCTCTCCCCTGAGCTTCAAAATTGCACATCCAGCTGCCCTGCTGAAAACCTCGACCAGGATGTCTGACACGTATCTTAAATCAAAAGGCCAAAACAGATTCAGTCATCTCCCTAAACATGTTCCTCTTCCTCTGTTTTTCTATCTGAATTGAACATCAGGTTCCCCACCTGGAAACTTGCGAGTCATCTTTGAGTCTCCTTTCTCCCTGACTCCCAGATGCAATCAAGTGTTGCCAATTTTACCTCCTAAATATTTCTCAAACCTGTGCCCTCCTCTCCATCCTTCATGCCTCTGCCATAGTACAGGCTTACATCAGTAGTCTCCTACTTAAGAATGCTGCCTCCAGTCCCCCTGGCCAACCCATTCTCCATACCACTGCTAAGCATGCTCTATTTAAAATATAAATCTAGCCATATCACTTTCTTTCTTTCTTTTTTTTTTTTTTGTGAGGATGATCAGCCCTGAGCTAACATCTGTGCTAATCCTCCTCTTTTTGCTGAGGAAGAACGGCTCTGAGCTAACATCTATTGCCAATCCTCCTCCTTTTTTCCCCCACAGCCCCAGTAGATAGTTGTATGTCATAGTTCCACATCCTTCTAGTTGCTGTATGTGGGACGCCGCCTCAGCATGGCCGGAGAAGCGGTGCGTCGGTGCGCGCCCAGGATCCGAACCCGGGCCACCAGCAGCGGAGCGCGGGCTTAACTGCTAAGCCACGGGGCTGGCCCTGCATATCACTTTCTTAAAAATAATTTTCAATGCCTCCCCAACTGCCTAGTGAATTCCTTGATTACTAAATGAGGCCCTTCATGCCCTAACATCTGTCTATTTCTCTAGTTTTAATTCCTGCCACCCCTTGACTGCAGTTTCTAGCACTTACCTATTTCAATCACAATGTTTCTTCTGTCCAAAATATCCTTCCCTTCTCCACTCTTTTGGGTTAGCTAACATCTACTAATTCTTTAAGACTCCTACCAGGCATTATCTCTTCCGCAAGCCTAGCCTAATGACCCTTAGGGAAAATAGGTCAGGTAATCCTCCTCCTCCTCTTCTTCTCTGACCTCCTCTGGTTTGAACATATCCTTATTTTGTTTTATTTTTATTTATTTATTTACTAACTCATTCATTCATTTATTTATTTTTTGTGTGAGGAAGATTAGCTCTGAGCTAACATCCATTGCCAATCCTCCTCTTTTTGCTGAGGAAGATCGGCCCTGAGCTAACACTTGTGCCCATCTTCCTCCACTTTATATGGGACGCCACCACAGCGTGGCTTGACAAGCAGTGTGTCAGTCCGTGCCCGGGATCTGAACCTGTGAACCCCGGGGTGCCGACACAGAGTGCATGAACTTAACCACTATGCCACCAGGCTGGCCCCCCTATTATATTTTATAATGATTTATAATGGTTGTCTCTGTCATACATCAGTTCTTTCACTGAATTAATTTATTCAGCAAATATCTATTGAACATCTACTATGTGCCAGTCACTTTGAACACTGGAATATGAGCTTATTGTAAGCAGGGGCATTATCTTATACATCTTTATATTTTTTGGTGCTTCTACAAAGTCTGGCTCATAGGAGATAGTCAAAAATGTTTAGTGAATAATTGGATGGATGGATAAATATTTGATATGATGAGTATTTTAAATCAATACTCAAGAATTTCAACTAATCAGTTCAAGTATGGGGAAAAGACCATATAACACAAAACATAGAGATAACTTAAAAATTCCATTAAGTTGTGTACAGATAAAATCTGACAATTTTACTGAATAAGAGATAAACTTCAAAAAGAGACAAAATAGTTAAGCTATTTAGGGAAAAATATCAGATAACTTTTCACTTTCCAAGTCTTGTAGCACATGGCATAGTGCAAAGCACTTATAGTCATTATTTCCCTTTAAGGCATATTGTGGAATGAATGTTGAATGGTAATAAATATTAAAATGCCTCCAATCCCTCCATTTTCCTCAAAAGCCAAAAGTAATGAAAAATTGAATGTGAAAAGCTAACGTAGTTATGACAGCCAAATGAAGTTTGTTTGGAAATTAGTCAGATGATACCAAATTAATCCAAAAAGAATCCAGATGTTAGGTTCAGAATACTTCATTAGTATCACTGTTTAATTGCATCAAACAGACAGGATGCATGTGGCAACATACCTCTTGCCATATGCCACATGTTCAAAGAAGGGAGTGAGAGAAAATGGCGTCTATTAGCTGAGAAAGTCTAAGTAATTCAGGCAAATAAATTTATGCCCTACTCTAAGAATGTTTTTCTAAAAATTAGTAAAGCCTTAGAAACTTTTTTTTTAAGGAAAAAAATGTTACCTACTTTTCTAGTTGGTCAACTACTTAACCTTTCTAAGCTTCAGTTATCTTACCCATAAAATGGGATAATAATGCCTACATAGTAGATTATTGTGTAGAATAAATAATTTCATAAATCCATGTAAGTACTCAGCACAGTGTCTGACACAGTAGGGGTCAATATTAGTAACAACTAATATTAAACATTAATAGTATTTAAAATTTAAATAATAATGCAGTTTAAATATTTATAATATTTAAAATTTATAGTAATATATTATTAATATAAATATTAAATATTTAACAACTATCCTGTGAGGTAGATGCTATTATTATTCCCATTTTGTAGATGAGGAAGCACAAAGAGGTTAAATGACTTGCCTGGGCAATCTGGCCCCAGCAACCACAGTTATATCTATTATGCTCTTTTGTCTCTCACATGACAATCTTAGGAAGTTTGTATTAGAGGGGCCGGCCCGGTGGCGCAAGCGGTTGGGTGCATGCGCTCTGCCGCAGCGGCCCAGGGTTCGCTGGTTTGGATCCCGGGTGTGCACCGACATACTGCTTGTCCAGCCATGCTGTGGCGGCGTCCCATATAAATTAGAGGAAGATGGGTACATATGTTAGCTCAGGGCCAACCTTCCTCAGCAAAAAGAGGAGGACTGGCATCAGATGTTAGCTCAGGGCTGATCTTCCTCACAAAAAAAAAAAAAAAAGGAAGTTTGTATTAGAAAATATTTTTTACTTTAAAGAAATTCTAAATTAAGAAATCAGATCACTTGCCACACGACACTGAGTGAAAGGAACCATGGAGTCTATTCAACTGAGAGGGTCATGCTCCTCCTCTATAAAACTTGGTCATTTCTTAGAAAAGAAGAGGGAAGGGGACAGAAGGAAAAACGAGAGAATTTGTCCGAGTCAGGAAAAGAGACAACAGATTGCACAGGAGCAGGTGGGTAAAAAGCAGAAAGAGAAGTGAGACTTGTAAGCAGCAATGAGAGAGAATGTTTTCACTATTTTAGAAGAAAGGTAATCAAAGGGCTTCCAAAAAGAATGAGAAGAACTTGCTCTGGAGATGTTAAAAAATAACCTTAATGTCACCACCTTTTATAACATATTTATTACATACCCACCCTTGGCTCCTTTCCAACTTACTTGGCTATAACAGTCACTTGATAAAGAAAGAACAAGTCTGAATCAATACCTGATATGGCATCTGGATCTTCTCCATGTAGAAGCTTCTTAAGTTTCTTATTAACCAGATCCAATAAAGTAACTGGTGTCTACATAAAAACAGGTATTTTCAAATATTTAATATGAATTTCTTCCAACCAGAAATACAACATAGAAAAAAAAAATCTCAATCTTTTTGACCAATGAGTAGCGGAAGAGGATTGCAGATGGGGAGAGAGGGTGGGTAGCAGAAGGCCTCTGAATTAGAAAGGATATGAATACTTGAAATTTTTTAAGAATTCTTAAAATTTTATTTTCTACTTACATGTATGTACTATATCTGAAACTAGGTTAATGAATCATTAGTATAATATTCTCGTATAATAATAAAAATTATTTGTACTTCCGTAATAGCACTGGTCTAAATAATTGTAGATTGTAATTACATGGTCCATATGTAAATAGTAGCTATAAAATACATTAAAACATTATTCTCTTTTTTTTTGAGGAAGATTGGCCCTGCGCTACCATCTGTTGCCTATCTTCCTCTTTTTCTTTTTTTTTCTCCCCAAAGCCCCAGTTCATAGTTGTGTATCATAGTTGTAGAGTTGTAGCTCTTCTATGTGGGACGCCACCGCAGCATGGCTTGATAAGCAGTGAGTAGGTCCGCGCCCAGGATCCGAACTGGCGAACCCCGGACCGCTGAAGCAGAACGCATGAACTTAACTGCTATGCCACCAGGCCGGCCCCAAAACATTATTCTCTTAAAATAGATACATACTCCTTTTCCAGTTTTGGTTACACAAAGGTAATCCCAGATTACAATATGTATCTGGGGGAAATAATCCCTCAGCTAATATTGTTACAGAGGGCACTCCCTAGACCTACCAATGCTGTACCTCATGTCCACACAGCTCCTTCATCCTGGACCCCAGGCTACCTTTCTATTAGCATCGATTGTCCTGCCAATTTCTAGCCATGAAGCTGTTCCCATTAATTCATTCTGTCATTCAGTAAAAATTTGGTGAGTGATTGCTATGTTTCAGGTACTGTTCTAGGTGATGAATAAACAGATCAAGTTTCTGAACTCACAGAACTTACATTCTCATAGGAGAGAGACAATTTTAAAAAATCAGCAAATATAAAATATAATTTCAGGTAGTGATAAGTGCCATTAAGAAAGCATAATGCAGGGTAAGAGGCTACAGTGAAGAAGATAGGTAGCTATCTTAGTTAGGGAAGACTTCTGACTTTCTGAGAGGGTAACATTTTGAGCAGAGGCCTGAACAGATGTGAAGGAGTGAGCCATAAGATTTGGGAGAAAAATGTTCTAGACAGACAATAGACAGCATTAGGTAAAGCCAAGTAACAGGAAAAAGCTTGGCATGTTTGAGACCCCCTATCATGAATACCCCTATCTCAGCCTCCCTGAAATACCTCATGCCCTAATCTCCACATACTGGTCAGCAGAGCCCCTTCCCCCTGCTTCCTGAATCCCACACCCCTACTTCCTCCAGCCTTTGTCAAGTTCCTTTCCTCCCTCTGTGGCCTGCTACAAAATTTGAACCAGTACGTTTCCTTATGACACTGCTACTTCTGACATGAGGGGGAGGTACAATATGAAAAAGTCCTTTCTAACCTCTCAGCCATATGTAGAAAAGAAGAGAATTCATTTACCCAGAGGAGGAGGCAGGGTGAGAAAGAAGAAAGTGGAGAAGCTTTGTGGTAAGGAAGAAGCAGGGAGAGGAAATGTTCTTTCTAAATTCCTAGTTGTAATATGGAACCTATTTTGCAAGTAAACTATACACATGAATTTTGGTTTAGTGATTATAGAATTAAACATTTATGTAACCTGGGCCCTAAACTCCATTTTTCATATTTTTTGATGAAAACTAGGTGCAGAATACCTAACAACTGACTTATGAATGAGCTTTTAGAATATATTTCATTCAAAATTCATAAATAGGGGACTGCCTCTATTGTATAGACTTAGTACCACCTTTTTTCCTGAAATAATTGAAAAGAAATATCAGTTAAGGTTGACAAAACTGCTATAAAATTTGAACCAATGTTTCTTATGAGAAAAATTTTTAAGCAAAAAAATTGAAGGGAACAATTCTTTATAGAGGTTTTGGAGAGAGAACATCACCAAAAGTACCAATGACTGGTGCTAAAATATAGTAGTTAAGGCTAAAAAACAATCTTTTTCTTTTTTTTTTTTTTTTTTTTTTTTTTTTGTGAGGAGATCAGCCCTGAGCTAACATCCGCCAATCCTCCTCTTTTTTTGCTGAGGAAGACGGCCCTGGGCTAACATCTGTGCCTATCTTCCTCCACTTTATATGGGACGCCGCCACAGCATGGCTTGCCAAGCAGTGCGTCGGTGCGCGCCCGGGATCCGAACCAGCGAACCCTGGGCCGCCGCAGCGGAGCGCGCGCACTTAACCGCTTGCGCCACCGGGCTGGCCCCAACAATCTTTTTCTAAGATGTTTCAAACTATATCAAGAATCTGACCACGTCTTACTAACCGTATTGCTATCCCTCTGCTTCAAGTCACCATATCTCTTGTCCAGATTATTACAACAGCCTCCTAAAAGGTGTTCCTGCTACTACCTTTGCCTCTCTACAATCTATTCTCCACACAACAGCCAGAGTTATCTTTATAAATGTCAGTCACATCAGGCCACTGTTCTGCTCAAACTCTCCAGTGAGTCCCCATTTCATTCCAAGAAGCAGAGTCTCTCCAGTGGCTTATAAGGGCCACGACCTGTCTGACCCCACCTCACGCTACGCCTCCGCCCACCACTTCCTTGCTATTCCTCAGCACCCAGGCATGCATCATCCCTAAGACGTCTGCTCTAGAAACCATTCTCTCTTCCCAAAACGACTACCTTCACCCTCACAGTCATTTTGTTGACTCTCTCCCCTTTCCAGTCTTTGCTCAAATCTCATTTTCTCAGTGAACCCAACTTTGGCTACCCTGCTTAATACTATAAGCTTCTGCTCACCTCTACCCTAGCACCCACAAATCCCATTAACCTACTTTCTTCTTTTATTGCATTTATTACCTTATATCAAACTATATGTCTTGATGATTTATTGTGTGAATTTTTTGTTTTGAGGAGGATTGTCCTTGTGCTAACATCTGTTGCCAGTCTTCCTCTTTTTCTTTTTTCTCCTCAAAGCCCCAGTACATAGTTGTGTATCATAGTTGTAGAGTTGTACCTCTTCAATGTGGGATGCTGCCGCATCATGGCTTGATGAGTGGTGAGTAGGTCTGCGTCCAGGAACTGAACCAGCAAACCCTGGACCACCAAAGCGGAATGTGCAAACTTAACCACTATACTGCCGGGCCAGACCAATGTGAATTTTTTTTTTTGTCTGTCATCCCTCACTTGGATGTAAGCTCCTTAAGGGCCTGAATCTTCGTGGGGGTTTTTTGTAGTTTTGTTTGCTGATGTATTCCAGGCACCTAGAACAGTGACTGGCACATAGTAATGCATCAGAAATGGGTTGAAGAAATTAATCAATATACTTGAAAATATTGACATTGTTTTAAGTCTGCTTCCTTCTCTTTAGTGGGTAACGGGAGACAGCATTCCTTCAAACTTTGCACATTATAGGTACTCAGGAAATTAATTATGAAGTAAATGATTTACCTTTTTGCTTGACACAAATAGCTTAGTAATAATGTGCCCAGGCAAAATGACAGAGATACCTTGAAGAGCTCAGAGTGATTCTCCAGTAGAAACCAGACTAGTTGTTCTGCCCGTACTTTTAAAAATGATTTGGTTTGCAAAACTGCTTTGGCAAGAGTTTTCAGGACTACCGTTTTGTTATCATACTGTAAACAGAAAGATTAACATTAGCTTGAATGGTTTTTAAAAGAAAAAAACAGCAGAAAATTGTGAAACTGTTATTGCAATTTTTTTCACCTGTTTTTGTAACTTGTAGGCATTAGGTTCCGATGCAATAGCCATAAAAGTAAGAAGCCGTCGTAATTCTTCTCTAATGTTGGGCAACAGCAATCTTAGATATAGTTGTGTTGCTTCAAGTGCCTCTGTTCTTTTCTCATTTTCTGTTACACGGGTTACAAAGAAGACAAAGCATGGGACAAAAAATGGAGATTGTAGTACTTAGTAGTCAATTAAAATACTGTGATGCTGTATTTGGTTTGCAGATTCTTTTTTACACTTAAAAGTTTTCATTATGAAATATTTCAAACACACAGGACATTATCTGTATAATTCTATATAATATGCCAAAACCCTGCATAATTACATCCAGCATTATCAAACAGTATTTTGTTTTTAACATTAAATTATATGGCCACCTACATAGCTAAAAAAGTGACATATTATGTCACTCAATTTTTATTTTGCTTTGGCAAATAAAATGATCTTTTAAGATCACCAAATTAATACATCAGAAATTAATATTTCCAGGTAACTCAATTCTCTACTCCTGTACTATACCAAAATATGTTTCTTAGAATGTCCCTGTCATATAATTACCTTAGATCTAATGTCCTATACTACATTAGTTACACTTGATAGTACAATGTACATGGCAGGCAACATTAGTGAAGTGAAAAAAGACTCCTTGAAGTACTTTGACACTATAGAAGAAAAATATTAAAATTTAATACTCATATAATACATAAGATTTTCTACAACTTGTATCTTTCAAAGTGTTTTATTATACAGAAAACTAAAGTTTAAGCATCTTTTCTTACCTAAAAGTTCAATAATTCCTGAATGAATATCAAAATACTCATCAGTTAATAGACAATCTCTCTCTTGATTATAATATTTTACTATGACATCAAAGAGTATCTTCTTCTGTATATTCAATCTTGTCTCTTCATTTGTGTTTTGCACTAACTGCTGACTAACTGTAACTATTAACTGGTCAGGGAAATATTCCAAGCATTCAATTGCTGCATTAAGCCAGTTATCAATCCTGGAGGTAAAAAACAAAACGAAATAAATCAATAGTTAACATTTCCAGTTGACTACCTAAAGCACTGTTTGACAAAACGTAATAAAAATCTAGGTTTTATTTAATCAAATCTAAAGAAGAAACTATTTTTGAGAGAATCATTTCAATAATTTTTGCTGGATGACTGAGGGAGTAAATGAGAGGGAATAGCCTTTTTCCTTACCAAATACCACAACACCTTTCTGTATTTTTATTTTCAAGAAATGAAAATATTTTTGGGCCACCTTTTCATTATTTATTTCTAATTTTGTTAGATTTTGTTCAGAGCAGTTCATCTGTACTATTCCCTTCCATTAGTGGTTCCCCTCCCTTTTCCCACTCCAATAATTAGGTACCTATGGTTCTATTATTATTTGAAAATAAGATACCAAATATTTTCCCAATCAACATGCACTGTTTATCCCACCACACACTGTTTTCCCTTTCTTATCTCTCCAACCCAGTAAGAAAAGAAATTTAGGACCCTTTCACTCCTCCCTCCCTTCAGTGATGCCTTTGGAAGGCCTTTAATTCCTTTCTCTTCATCTGCTACCTTCCCAATCCCCAGGTTTTGCAGAGATAGGTTAGTATTTATTATAATTTCCCTTAATACTATGTTTCTTCTGTTTTGACTTCTTATTTGGCACTTATACATTCCTGCACAGTCTTACCATATCAACTTGGAATTAATGTGTGTGTCTGTAAGCACATAGGTGCGCATGTGGGTACAAAATCAGAGGGAAGAGAAAATAGTAAGAGAGCACACTGCCTACCAATTTCCTTTCCTCTTTATCTGTCTCCATCTTGGAGTTCTGGTTATTTCTTTGTAGTGTGATTGAAATCTTTCCTCAAATATTGTCATAGGATGGGGTTCCTGAGTGATATACTCTATGAATTCTTGATAATCCTCAAATATCCTTCCTTCTTCCCTGTTCCCTTCCTTCTTTCTCCCCTGACATGTGAATGGTGTATCTTGCCTAAAATGTGTGACTCATTATCTTCTAGATCCTAGTGTTGCAGATGAAAAGATTAATGACAGTTGGATTGCTTTTCTCTTGCACATAACCTACGCTTTCTGCCTGGAAGCTTATAAAGGCCAACTGGCTACTGTCTGTTTCCTGCAGAGGCATCTAAAGAAATTCTGTTTCCTTGCTGGTGTCTCTATATTCTTCCTGACTCAGGGGCTGGGGAAGACTCAGCTATTTGTTTGGCTCTTTCTTGGCCTATTGTGAATTAGGGAAACCTGCTATGTACGAACAAGACCACAGCTGACTGTTGAAGCGGGTCCACAGGTTTCTGATGGCCAAGCTCTTCCCAGGATCTGAAGCTTTCTGGTTCTCAGCCTTGGAGTCTGATGTTCTTTTGTTGTTTGGCCCATGTGGGAGAAAGCATTATATCATTCTTGCTGCTGGAATCCCAACAGTACCCATGCTCTTATACCTACAGTTCCTAGCAGCTGGTTTATTCAGGAGTGACAAATATCTTGGAATTGGAAGTGAAAGAGGAGGGAGCCTCATCCTGGCTATTGGGTTCCCCAAACATCCCCACAAATATTTTATGATAGGCCTTATCTCACTGGACTAGAATGTTTTGTTTCATGAATGTCTCCCCTACTAGACTGTGGATTCTTTTAGGGCAGGAATAAATAAGTTGGTAGAAACTGTGATGGTTATGATATTTTAGGGTTATAAAAGAGAAATAAGAAAACTTTGGAAAACACTCAGGGCTGGTGCAGGGAAAGGATGACTGACAAATCATAACTGAATTCATATGAATGAAACCATTCTGATTTCCAGTGATCTTCTCCTGGTCATAACCAGTGACTTTCTATGTTAGATCAAACAAGAATTCACAGTGATTAATTTATAAAACAGAGATGGTGTCAGTTTATACCTATGGATATGTTCTCACATCCTAAAATACCAAGGACAAAATATTGGAAAGAATTTTTTAGTTATAAATTATTTGATAATAAAATTAGTCACTTACTTAGGTAGACATAAGCTTGGAATAATTTCTCTGTCTAGACAAGTGTTTGAGATAATGAGATCTTCCTCTTTACTTAATTGACGATTTTGTGTTTTTACTGGAGGCTCCAAAATATTTTCCAAGAACGGAAGGTGAATTAATTGAAGAATATGTAACAACGTTTGTTGTTTCCAAACATCTTCCACAGCTTAGAAAGAAAAATAATGTAACTATCAGATTGATAAATAACATACACACATTGAACCAATATTATAACATTTTTCCATGGGTAAATAATATAAAAGAAAAGCTACCTTAATATAATATAATGGATTAATTTAATGCTGGGATAATTTAAATTTGCTAAATTAGGATTTTTCTTTTCAAGATTGACCTTTAAATAGACATCAGGGTTATGAGCCATATTGATTTTATTTTCTGTTGATTATAAAATGATATTATCTAGCTTTCAAGGCCAACAATAAGTTAATTCCAAATATAAAAAGCTACTGGTCATGCTTATAAATTATTTTGTACAACTGAGAGAATATGAGATTACTAATTATTTATAATTTTATTGAAAGAAGCACAGATAATTGTAGTTTATTGTTTTTAGATTAAAATACAGTATTAGGGTAATCTTTTTTTTTTTTAATTTTATTTATTTATTTTTTCCCCCCAAAGCCCCAGTAGATAGTTGTATGTCATAGTTCCACATCCTTCTAGTTGCTGTGTGTGGGACGCCGCCTCAGCATGGCTGGAGAAGCGGTGCAGCGGTGCGTGCCCGGGATCCGAACCCGGGCCGCCAGCAGCAGAGCACAAGCACCTAAGTGCTAAGCCACGGGGCGGGCCCAGGTAATCTTTTTTTTTTTTTTTTTGTGAGGAAGATCAGCCCTGAGCTAACATCCATGCTAATCCTCCTCTTTCTGCTGAGGAAGACCAGTCTGAGCTAACATCCATTGCCAATCCTCCTCCTTTTTTTTTTTTTTCCCCCCAAAGCCCCAGTAAATAGTTGTACGTGATAGTTGCACATCCTTCTAGTTGCTGTATGTGGGATGCGGCCTCAGCATGGCTGGAGAAGCGGTGCGTCGGTGCGCACCCAGGATCCGAACCCAGGCCGCCAGTAGTGGAGCGCGCACACTTAACTGCTAAGCCACGGGGCCGGCCCTAGGGTAATCTTAACTTGGGTTTCTGGTCATTCTTGTTAAGAGTTAATTAAGTTTTTCATTATCCTAATCATCAGATTACAATTAATGTTTTGTTTTTCCTTTAAATGAAACAAGATTATCTCTTGTAAATCTTTTGCAGAGCTCCCAAGCTGGTAGCCTATGTATTAAATTTAGACCATAGCCTGATTTGTTTGGTTATAAAGTATTTTTTTTTTTTTTTAAAGATTTTATTTATTCAGTTTTTCCCCCCAAAGCCCCAGTAGATAGTTGTATGTCATAGGTTCACATCCTTCTAGTTGCTGTACGTGGGACTCGGCCTCACGTTGGACGGAGAAGTGGTGCCTCGGGGCGCGCCCAGGATCCGAACCCGGGCCGCCAGCATCAGAGCGCGCGCACTTAACCGCTAAGCCACGGAGCCGGCCCTGGTTATAAAGTATTTTGAATAAAACTAACATATAAAAATGAGAGATTCATGTAAAATTCTGGGTTTCAAGCTCCTCTTTAAAAAAATCATAAGATGTCATAACACTGGGCTTGAATTAATGCCTGACCAAAGTCAGCTGATATGAATTAGTGGCCACCCATTTGTATTGGCATATCATTTCCAGTTCACCACAAACCCCACCACTCCCCACAGTATCCCAAACAGTGAAGCTGAGTGTCAGTTACCATTTTCATGGTATTGTCCTGTTGGTTTTGCTACAGTAAAAATCAATTTCCCTGTACTTATATCTCTGTGTTAAGTGTGAAAAACAAAAATAGTCTGAGAGGGTCATATATTTCAAGCAAAACAACGGTATATATTTTTCCTACCTGTTTGATAATTAAGTACTCACTGGCTCTCTGATCTTCCTGGCTCTGAAAGGCATCTGAATTTGCTACTTCTGAGTTATTGGTCAAAAAGAAATTGAATTAACAGTCTTTTAGTGAAGACTTGAGATCATAAATAGCCTCTAATCAATCAGTCCACATCTGTCAATACAAACCTTTGGGCAGGGCACTGAAGCACGTGCTAGAAAAAGATATATAAAAAATAGAGGGCCTTCAGCAGCCACACCCTAAGTCAGGAGTCACATATGAAATATGGTGAAGCCAAATTTTATCAAGTCACCAAGAAGTATAAATAGATACATTATGAATGAGTCCAAAAGTGGAAAAAAGATTATTTTGCAAGAGCATCAAGACAGAAGATTCATTTATTCAGCAAATATTTATTGAGACCTATTTTGTGCTAGGCACTGTTCTAGATTCCAGGGATATAGTGGTAACCAAAACAGGCAAAAATCCTTGCCTTATGGAGCTTATATTCTAGTTGGGGGAGGGAGGCAGACAATAAATAAACAAAAAGTGAAATATGTAGTGTTTCAGTTAGTGGTAAGTTCTACGGAAAGAAATTAAGCAGAAAAGGAGAGAAGTAGTGCTGGGGGGATAGTGTTGCATTTTTAATCAAGACGTATGGGAACTATTTTGGGAAGATGGTATTTGAGCAAAGACCTGAAGGAGAGGGAGCAGAGAAATGTGCATGTCTAGAACATACTAGCCAAATGCAGAGACGATGAACAGAATACCTACCTCTGTGCAGGGAAATTAAACTCAAGAAGGACATTGTGGCAACACATACCATCGCCATAGTCACCTTTATGGAGCACTTCATACTCAATAATCATTGCGCTGAGTGAAGGGGATACAAGGGGAATAGACCCTGCATTTGAAGAGCGTTCAGTTCATCCAGTGTTTAGAATAGTCTATACACACACACACATATATACACATATATGTGCATCTATGTATATATGTATATGTATAGGCTGTATATATAAAATATTTACAAAATGAGGATGCTGTACTTGAGCCATTCAGCCACTAAATGTTTACATGCCTACCAACAGCTAGGTGCTGTGCCATTCAATAGGGATACAATGGTGAACAAGATAAGGACTGTCCCTGTCTAAGTACTTCAAATTCTAGTGGGAAATAATTTCATTAAGTAAACAGGCAATTTCATTAAGTGTGTAAATGTTTTGATAGAAGATGTAAAGTGTGTTCAGTAGAATTCAAATTTTCTTTTAGCTGAGGAAACCTTTGTACAAACACATTCTGAAAGTCAAGTAAAACAGTGGAGTTGTTCTAGCTGATATTGGTATTCCCCTGAGACCTACCCCACAAAGGTGAGGGACAGGTTATATTTTGCAACTTTAGAACTCCTAACATTTCCAAAACAACAGATATATATTTTTGAAATATTAGTCATGATATTATCAGTAAGAAACAAACAACCATAAAAAATAAACAAATCTCAGCAAAAGTGGTTCACCTTAACTCTTCTTGTCACACAAATGCAAATTTACAATGAAGCCTGTAGTCCTGCGATTGCACTGCTTTCCCCCTGCTAGCAAAGTTTTCAACTCAAGTCAAGAGAAGTAAGTTTCTCAGTTATTTGGGAATTAAGAAATGGCCTTTTTCAAAAATAGAGGAACTCCATACTGTCATTTCTTGGCTGAAATTTATATAGGTGTGTTGTCAACGGCATACCTTTAACCAACCATGTTTTTCCAAATAGAAAGTGCTTAAATTTTCTTGTTGGCCAGCTAGTTATTTAACTTTATAAAACCAGATAGTGTCTATAGTGTTTTATTCCTAATTTTATACCTCTTAATATATCTGATGGGGTTGTTTTTGTGCTTGAGGATCACAGAAGAATCAGATTTCAGTGGAAAACAACAGCAAAAACTCCATTCATGCTTAATAAGTTCCAGTTCAGAGAAACTTCCAAATGTACTTTTCCCAAAAAGTTTTGGTATGAAAATGTAAATTTCAAAAAAGTGAACTTTTTTTAATGCATTAAACACAAGAGCAATCAGTCAATTTTAAAGTTAGTCCTCTTTTGCAAACTTTTTTACAAAACAAAAAACAAAGAACAAAAAAACCCACTCTACCAGATTTAAAAAAGACTTTTGAACATAAAGAGATTTCTTTTTAGTAACGTGTTAAAGACTACTTCTCTGAAAACTATGCTTTTATTAGAAAGAATTAAAATAGTTTTTGTGTTTGTTTATTCTGAAGGCTGACACATTGATTTGTGACAAAGAGCAAACATACCAAATACACTTCACTTGCACTTGTTTTATAATTTACAACACTTTGTTGCAACAATAATGATAAAACACTGGATGAGAGTATGGAAATCTAGGTCTGAATCTTGATGCTATTAGTTAACTGTGGAAACTTGGCAACTTCTCTGACTCTGTTTCCTTATCTATAAAATAAGCAGTCTAAACTAAAGCAGTGGTTCCCAGACTTGGCTGATTTTTGTTTTAACATAAAAAAAAAGAGAGAGAGAGATTTTAACAAAACTTAATAGTTTGTTTTGTGACTTAACGTTTAAAATCTCTAGCTAACCACAATAGTCTTAAATCTACATACTATATTCCTCCTATTCTCACCTAACTTTTTTTGTTAAATATGTCACACATAAAACAGTATATAAAAGCATATGTACCATTTAAAATGTTTGGGAGATAGGTGTAAGGAAGAGAAAAGGCCTAAAATCCTGTTTTCCTTTGTAGAAAATTAACATGTGTACCTAAAACTGAAAAATCCTGAAATAGCAATATAAGCATGCTGCTTAGAGATATGAAATATGAGTTGTAAACGGTTGTCTCTGGGGAGGGGGAAATGGGTGAGAGAAGAAGGGTAGGGTATTGCACTTTTTTGGTAACAAAACCTATAGGACTATTTGAATGTTTTATATTATGTACATGTTTGTTTCAAAAAAAGTTTTAAATATTAAAACTACATAGATCAAAACATACTGCCATAAAACATTGGGAGATTTTAGTTCTGAAAATTGCTTTCCTACAGAAAACCTTCCCTGACTGCCCCCTCCCTATTCCAAATTAGGTGACCTGTCTTTTCTGAATCCTATGCGATCTTACTGGATTGCACTTGGTGGTATATTTGTTTCTCTCATTAAAATGTAAACTTTCCTAAAGACACGGAAATTGTCTTTTTCACTTGAATCCCCAGCATACTGCTTGATACACAATTTGTTGTTAGTGCCGTCAAGTCATTTCTGACTCCTAGTGACCCTGTGTACAGCAGTGTGGAACCCTGCCTGGTCTTTTGGCACTATCCTCTCTCCTTCCAGCACTATATCAGACATGCTCCACTGCTATTCATAGGGTTTTCATGGCCACTTTGTTCAGAAGTGGGTGGCCAGGTCCTTCTTCCTAGTCTGTCTTAGTCTGGAAGCTCTGCTGAAACCTGTTCACCATGGATGACCTATCTCAGTGGCATAGCTTTCAGCATCACAGCAACATGCAGCTGCCACAGTATGACAACCGACAGACGGGTGGTGTGGTTCCCTGACCAGGAAACGAACCCAGGTGGCGGTGGAGGGTGCCAAATCTTTTTTTTTTTTTAAATAATTTTATTTATTTATTTATTTTTTCCCCCAAAGCCCCAGTAGATAGTTGTACGTCATAGCTGCACATCCTTCTAGTTGCTGTATGTGGGACGCGCCCTCAGCATGGCCGGAGAAGTGGTGCGTCGGTGTGTGCCCGGGATCCGAACCTGGGCTGCCAACAGCGGAGCGCGTGCACTTAACCGCTAAGCCATGGTGCCGGCCCATAGGGTGCCAAATCTCAACCACTAGACCACGAGGGCTGGCTTATGTACATGTATAACAAAGATAAAAATAAGAAAATTTTAAAAAATACGTGAGTGCCAACTTTCCTTCCCTGCGACATATTTATTTATTTATCCTTCTCAGTTTCCCCAACTATAAAATGGGAGTTTTACCCATCACTTTACAGGCTTTTTGTTATAGACAATATAAAATGCACAACAAATTGCTTAGCACAGAGAAAGACCCAATGAGTGGAAATTATTTTTATTAGCATCATTACTGATAAATTACATCCATCTTTATTTAGGAATTTCTGGAGGTACCCCATATCCTCAAGGGAAAATGATGGGACAAGTTATTTTTTCATTTGTAATAGATAAAAACTGTACTTTTGTTGGCTCCCCTTCTTCTGCCTGTCCTCCAAATATTAGTCTTCCTCAGAGTTCTCTTCTAGTCCCTCTTCTCTTCTCACTCTACACCCTTTCTTTGGGCATCCTGTATTTCCCTTATCACACTTATCCTAATTACTGGTGATAACCTTTGCTCCTCCAGTGTGCAAATCATGCTTGTCTTACTCTTGTCATGGTTTGACCAAATGCAGTAGAGTGTAACCATTAATGAATTGTGTATGCATGCCTCCTAATTGCCCTGGGTATGGGGCTCTTCTTTCCACCATAAGTGGCATTATAAGGAGAAAACCCTAAGTAGATGAAGTAAATAGTAAAAAGGAGTAGAACCACAGGCAGCCTAGCTAGTTTGTTTTGAAAGGCAAAGGGCAGGGAGATGTTTGGGAGGGGTTTATACAATGGACCAAGGATATGCTCATGAGAAGATGGTCTTGGATTATAAATAATAAGCACTGGTAACGAGTCTGCATGTTTTTCTCTGGTAGTATGGACTACAGCACCTCCAGTTAATCTGATCATGTTCACTGTAAAAAATAAACTAAATGTTATTGGGTTTACGCTGCCTCACCTGTCTTGTCTGATGTAATCACTACGTAGAAGGAAACTCTTACAAGGAAGAGAAGTAGAGAGTCGACACACCAAATACACTATTTTTATCATATCTGAAAAGTCAGTTCTTGTTCTTGGAGATAGTAAAAAGATCAGTGGTTGCCAGGGGTTAGGGGGAAGGGAAGGATGAAACATCAAAGCATAGAGAATTTTTAGGGCAGTGAAGCTATTCTGTATGAAACTATAATGGTGGTTACATGTGTCAAATGGTGGATACATTTGTCAAAACCCATATAATAAATACCACCAAGAGTGAACACTAACTAAACTATGGGCTTTGGGTGATAACGATGTATCAAAATAGGTTCAGGGATTGTTAACAAATGTATCGCCCTGACACAGGACCTTGACAGTGGGGAAGCCAGTTTAAGTGTTGGGCCAGGGGGTATATGGGAACTCTCTGTACTTTCTGCTTTTCTGTGAAGCTAAAACTGTTCTAAGAAATAAAGTCTATTAAAAAAAAGTCAGTTCTTCCTTACAAAGTTCTAAAAAAAATAATGAAAACTGAAATTACCTTCTTTAGAGAGCAGAACAGGTTTGTCAACTGTGGTATTTGGAGGTAAAGCCAGATTCCCAGTCATTGTATGAACAAGTTCCTCAAGTCTTTCTTCACCAATCTCTTGTGCTAGAGGATTTGAAATCGTTTCATCTTCTTGTCTGTTAAGAAATAATATGTGAATTTTTCCATTATATACAAGACAAAAATTTCAAATATACATTTTAATTTATTTATTAAAACTTCTTTATACATTCCCTATTTCCAAAAGGATTTCAGGCAGCTTACAATAAAAGACAAAGTAATAAGAGGCAGCTTACAATAAAAGACAAGTAATAAATTTATTAAATAATAGAATATCACCAAGAGGACAAATTAGGATTGTAAATAAAGAGAAAAAATATTAATTCTCAGGTTAACGTGGTTACTATGATGGAGTAGAAAATTCTTGCTCTGACTTTCCAGATAATCTTGGTTTTTGCTTTTTTTTTTTACTTTGGGTAAGTCATTTTTCAAAATTAGGAAGCATAAAATTCATCAAAGGAGACAAAGTTTTTCCTGGTATAAATTCTGAAAAATTTATGTGATAATGTCCTCCATAACAGTTTTAGAGCAAATGCAGAAATAAATTAATTTTTACATAGCTATTTCTTTTATTAACTTCTGAAAAAAACTGAAAGCATAACATTCAAGTTTAGCTGAATGAAGACTGTAATGCCAGAGTCTAAACATAATATATTACAGTATTTTGGTTAACACTAACCTTGAAAATTCCTTTGCTTTTATTTCATCAGTTAACCCATTCTCAGAATCCTTTTTTCTTTTGTGAGAAACATAAGATGATTTATTGCCTAGAAACCTGTAGAGACTATTGTTTGAATCTTCAAATTCCAATTCCTTTTCACTTTTGAATAGCTTCATTCCTACTGGTTCAAATACTTTATGGTTCATTAGAACTTGGCAAAGACGAACTCCTTTAAGACGAGAGATGTCATTACTACTTAGGCGCATATTTTGCATAAGATGACTTAATACTACATCAACAGCATCAGAACCAGTAAAACAGTCTTTGTAGGTTCGTAAATGATGCCTCCTTCTTTTTATTTCCACTTGAGTCTGAAGGGAGTGAATAATACCATCCCATAGTTGAGTAGCTTGAAAAGGACCAGAGCATCCTGGAAAAAAAAAAAAAAATTAAAGGTATGTTCCTAACAAATGTAGATTACACAAAAATATGTAAGTTTTTCAGTTTTGACAACCTTATGCTTTTTTATGACATACCTGTTGCCAATATCTTTCTTAAGTTTCTCCTTCTCCCATCTTATATAAACCATAATATATTTACTAAGATTGCACCATGTTTGTTTGCCAACAAAAACAGAGTAAATCTAGGAACTTGCGTTACTGATATGAAATATAGTATTATTTGAATTCATATACCCTTAACATTACATGATTAACTTCTAGCTATACTTAATCTTGAAGAATATTATTTCAGGACACATTTAAAAGGAATGCACACACACATTGGAATCTTGATTACTACAGAGCTGTGGCTTCACCAGGATCTTTGCTTTTTCCTTCTTCTTTTTGCCTTTTTTGACCAACGGCAAGCTCTTCACGAAAGAGATCCAGGGCAAGGAGATGAATAAAACTAATCAATTTGTCTGCCAGCTGTTCTTGTTGACAAAAAAAGTTTGTGAGGAATAATGAAAACCAGAAAACAATAAAAATGTCCATCACCTGGGGAATAGTTAAATTATGGCATAGCCTTACTATGGAATATTAAGCAGCCATTTTGGAAGAATGAGGTTTACAGCATGGAAGGATTTCATTAAGCAGGAAAAACAAAACAAAACAAAAACAAAAACCCAACGAGTTGAGCAGAACAATTTGTATACTATCATCCTGGTTATGTAAAAATGAATTCCCAACCTACACACAAATATATGTAAATAAATGGAAAGAAAGGTCTGGAAGGATAAACTTCAAACTATTAACCTCTGGGAAATAGAATTGTAATGAAAGGATGTTCGCTTTTTATTCTATATATTTCTGAATTTTGATAATGTACATATATATTTAATTAATTGGAGACATTTTTATTGAGATATAATTCACTTAGCACCAAATTCACCCTTTTAAAGTGTACAATTCAATGGTTTTTTTAGTACATTCACAAAGTTGTGCAACCATCACTTATCTAATTCCAGACCATTTCATCACTTCAAAAAGAAACCTATCCAGCTAGCAGTCACTCCTCATTCCCCTCTACCCCAGTAAATTTTTAATTAAAAAATTTTAAGAATGATAAGGGAACAAGTTGAAACATCTAGAATATTGTTTCTAGATTTTTTTCGTTAGAAGCCAAGAATTTTAGCTCCTCTTTTGACTACGAATAGTGGAAACAGGATGCCCAATTATACATAATAGTTTGATGTTTATGACAAAATGACAGAAATAAAAGCCGATGACTTTCAAATGCCTTTTGTAAGTGAAGCTGTCCACCTGTCTATCCTTGAAATGTTAGCCCGAGACACTGTGGACAGCGCGGACACCGGAGTAGGGGGTGGAGGGTGAGAAGCGGAAAGCGGGGGTGGGG